AAACCATGACGCGGACACGCGCCTGGGAGCCACCAGAATCACCGAGAGCTGTTCCGACCGAATTCGGTCCAGGAGACGGGGAATCAGAGGGACTGGTGGAAACGCGTAAAGGAGCGTTCGAGGCCAGGGCTGGTGTGAGAAGGCGTCGGCCCCGAGCGGAGGTCCGTCCCGGGGACTCAGGGAAAACCACAGGCGACACTGAGCGTTTTCGCGAGCCGCGAACAGATCCACAGACGGTTCCCCGAACCTGATCCAGATCTGTGATATCAGTGCAGGATGTAGACGCCAGTCGGAGTCGCGGGGTCCCCCTCTCGACAGGATGTCTGCCGCTACATTCAGGACCCCCGGAATGTAGATGGCTCTGATGGACAGCAGGTGGACATGTGTCCAACACAGTAAATCTGTGGCGACACGCAACAGTGGGAGGGATCGAACTCCCCCTTGGCGATTTATGTAGGCTGCCGCTACCCGGTTGTCTGTGTGAACTTCGACATGACGGCCCTCGAGAAGGGCAGCGAAGTGTCTGATCACATTCCTCACTGTCATAAGCTCCAACACATTTATGTGCTCGTGCGTGTGGGAGGGCCAGCGATCTGCCGTGTGGGACAAGCACGTGCCCCCCCACCCCGACAGTGACGCATCCGTAAACACAGATACGTGTGACGCAGGACGTCCGATGGGAACCCCGCGTGAGAGGATGCAGGGGTTCCCCCAGTGAGCGAGGTCCCCGCCCACTGAAGGGGGAATCCTCAACATACGTCTCTTCTGACGTATTGGGTGTACCCGGAGGCGGACGAACCAGCGTTGCAAGCGCCTCGTGCGCAGCAAACCTAGCGGCACTACTGAATGGGCTGCGGACATCATGCCCAGGAGTTTCATGACTAACCGGGCTCTCACGATCTTGCGGGGTTGAACACGGGAGATCACCGTGGAGAGATCTGCCGCTCTTGCAGGCGACAAACGTGCTCTCATTAGGGAGGCGTCCAACTCCACCCCGAGATACACAATCGACTGGGATGGAAGGATGGAGCTCTTTTCCCAGTTTATAGAAAACCCTAGGGTTGACAGATGCTCTGTCAACCTCCTGGTTTGCTGTGACGCCTCGTCCTCGGACCGAGCGCACAGGAGAAGATCGTCCAGGTAAAATAAGACCCTCATTCCCTCCGTGCGCAGTGGCTGCAGCGCGGTCTCCAGACATTTGGAGAAAGTGCGCGGGGCTAGCGAGTAGCCGAAAGGGAGGCGATTGAACTGATATTGAACTCCCTTGAACGAAAAACGCAGAAACTTCCGGTGGTTTGGAACTACTGGTATGTGGAAGTATGCGTCTTTCAGGTCGATTGACGTGAACCAATCCCCGGGGCGCACATATTCCAGGACTTGTCTCATCGTTAACATGCGGAAATGCATTACTGCTATGGAGCAGTTGAACAGGGACAGGTCGAGAATCGGCCTCATTCCTCCCGACTTCTTCGGTACTACGAAGTAGCGGGAGTAGAAACCCGAGAGTTCTTGTCCGCGAGGGACTCGGGAAATAGCGTCTTTGGACAGAAGTTCCCGCAGCTCCAGCTCTAGCGCCTGAGACTGTACTTGCGATGTGAACGTCGTCTCCACAATCCCGTTGAAGGGAGGTGGAGTGGCCTGAAAATGAAGTGTGTGACCGCAATGAATGGTGTCCGAAATCCATTTGCTCATGATGCAAAGGCGGCGCCACTCGTGCGCGCGTTCCGACAGTGGACGCGTGTGCGCGGTCACGTGAACAACGTCTGAGGGTTGTGCATGCGCCCTTACCGCCGTCGCCCGTACCAGAGAACTGGGGGCGACCCATGGAGGGCTGCGCTCGAAAGGGCAAGTGCGAAACAGCTGGAACAGGTTGGTCCACACCGCGGAGCGTGGAGTCCGAGAGTGAAGGACGAGTGGGAGCCGGGCCTGTGCACGGGGGCGACAGAGTGCTAGCGGATGGAGCCGCGCACTGTGCCGCCGCGCGTGGTCGAGACAGCGACATGACATCCCGCCCCACCCAACGGCGTGGGGAGAGCGGGACGAGTTGGGCCTGGCCGGATGCTGGGGCCAGAGCGCAAATGGAGCGCACCCTTACGGCTGGCCGTGTATTATGACTACCTGCAGGAACATGTGTGCGTGCAGCAGTGCTTGGTGTGGGGAACATGTGTGAAAACTCGGCAGAGGATTCTGCGGAGGACTGTAGGATTGAGCTCTTTGAGTGACGTTTTTTGGGTTTTATTTCAAAACCAACAACATCAGAACAATCAGTAACACACACATTCCCCCCAAAGAGTCACTTCCGTGGCTGCTTTCGGCGAGGCTCCTGCACCTGGGACTGCCAAGACGGCGTCTGCTGGCCCCGCCGGAACCGTTGTCCGCCATCTCGCTGGTCCCGCTGATGTGGAGCCGAAGCGGGAGGCCGGCTCCGTGGAGCGGGCGGTGCAGCTGGACGTCTGAAGCTTCCGCGCCGTTCGTCCCATCCTCTGGCTGAACGGCCGGAGTGCGAGGCTGACCGAGGGTGGACCAGGTCTCGCACCGTAGCCGATAGTTCGGCCGTCTTCTGAGCCCTCTCAATGACGCCCCTAAGATGGGGACCAAACAGAACATCGGTGGTGATGGGGCCATCCAGCATCTCCCTTTGCAGATGTTCCGGAATGGAGGGCAGGGCCTTCAGCCAGATCGCTCGCTGGATGAGGGTCTGCCAGGCAGCGATGCGAGCAGAACCGGTGAGCACAGCAGCACACAGATTGAGGATGGCATCAGCAGTCTTAGTTATGACGGCTTTCGACTCCTCGGGAGCTTCCAGCTCCTCCATCATCTTGGAGACGCCGAAGGCAAGAAGGGCGATGTTATTCCCTGCAGCGCCGGTCTGAAAGGTACACTGATGTGCGCGGTCGGTGAGCCGCGTCAGCAGCTGGTCATGTTTTGAAGCGGGAACAGCTCGCGGGCCAGCGAGGTGGTTCTTGGCGCCGAACAGCGAGGCCAAATCTGGCTCTAGTGGAGGAACGGACGGCCAGCCTTGGTCGGAAAACCCCTCGACCTTGGTGATAGGCGCATAGGTGGAGACTGGCGCCTTGAGCTTGGCAGGCTCGGAGAAGCCGGCAGACCAGCAGCTCATAGCAGCGGGGAAGCGCGGCCAGACAGGGTCTGGACAGCGTGTCTGAGTTGCCCCGAAAATTCCCGCCAAATCATCCGCTTCAGGCAGGGCCGGTTCTGGCACAGCTAGCCCCTTGCGGGCTGCTGACGCAGAAATGATGGCGGGCAGCTCCTGGAGCAGTGCTCTTACTGCTGGCAGGGAGGAGCGAGAAGCCACTGGGGCAGAAGGACCCGCTGAGCGAAGCTCGTCGACCTCCGTTATGTCTAGGAGGGACGCCGCCTCATCGTAGTTTTCGCTGTCAGTGACGTCATCCAGCCGGTTGAAGCCAGCCGGCTCCTGACCGGCGTCGAAGAAAACCAAAGCCTTGTCCAGCGGGTAGGAGTCAGCCACCGGAAATTCTTCGTCGGCGGCGGGAGTGAAGTACTCGACCCGGCGAATCTTCTCCGCCACGGGCAGAGCGGCACAGAACGGGCACGAGGCCTGCGGGGTCAAGGCCAGGCCAGCGTGGTGAGCCCCGAGACAGACCTCACACTTAGCGTGCAGGTCGCCGCTGGAAATGGAGCCCGTCTGGCAGGTCGGGCAGGGTCTGGTGTCGCTGGACATGGCTGGTAAGTCGTCTTCGGATAATTTGCTCTTTTGAGATAATATTTGCTCTTTAATAAAGCTCTCAAGCTTGGCATGAAGAGAAAAAGGAGGTGAGCAGTGGAGTCACTGTGGTTATATACCACGAGGGGGCCCACTATTGGTGGGCGTACATTTAAGCTCTTCATGATTGGCTGATGCGGAGATCATCCTTCCAATAGCAGCTAGCTTAAGGGCTAAGACTAGACGAAATAGAACAGGAGTACTCACCCCGGCTCATGACAAGGAGCCTTAATGTGTACAAGGTTCCCCTTGAGTAATATTGAATGTAGATGCTGAACCAATCTGGTATAAAGACTGCTGATAGAGGATAAACAAGTAAATAAGAGAAAAATTAATACAACTAGCAAACCAACATAAAAACAGCAACCAGCAGCTGCACCTGTGAAGAAACATTTCGAAGAGTCATCAAGAAATGTGGGATGAACAACTATAAACATGTAAACCATGAACCACAAACATCATGAACAACAAACATCAACAAGCATGTGTTCGTGCGTGTGCTGGGATGAGAAGTGTTAGACCGGATCAGGTGCACTCTGGAACGGCCACAAGCACCAGAAAACCTTGCTACAGAGAACTCAGCAAGGCTGACACAGGTCATGGGCCACAGGACACAGGAATCACACAGCATTTCCACCTGAAACAGAATCATTAAAATTAGAATCAAATACAACAGTTGTTCAGTATGACATCAAATGGATTTTTAAAGAAGGCAATTGGACTTCTTTGGTTTCATGAACACACTGGTACACCAGATCACTGTGTGTGTATGTGTGAGTGAATGTGCTTGCGTGCATGCATGTGTGTGTCTGTGTGTGTGTAAAAGCCATGTGTAGTGTTTATTTATAAAGCATATGTTGTTGGATTTTATCCAGAATCGAGACTTTGAAAATATATAGTTTAATTACAGTTTGATTTATTTGACATCTGTATAATGCTTATTATTTTGTTTTTCCCCCTAAATACCTAACGTTTGAGTTTAACATGAATATTAGTCATTCATCCCAATATATAAAGTTACACATTTTAAATTTTAATAGGGGAAGACTGCAGGAGGGAGCGGTAAAATCATAGACTGTACATACTTGCTACCCGCCGGCTGTGATCACAAGCGACAACATATTAGTTCCCGCTGCTTCTTCGGTAAAAAGCGCCAACAAAAAAAAAGAAACTTGGGATCTTGTCGGCGTGGCGGTGGGATTTAAGGGAAACGCTGTATGCCCTATAGACTTCTCACCGAGCTGCAGTATTTCTCCGGTCAGATCTGTCTCTGAGAGCTCCACGAGCGGTCAGCCCGCGCAGAAACTAGCCGCCGCACCGGTCAGGCTGCCTGGCCTGACCGCTGGGGATTACCGGATGGAAGAATGGACACAGGTGTCACTCCAAGCCTGCTGGAGATTTTAAGGGTTCAGATGAAAACACCCTACCACTCAGGCTGCTTACACATCGATATTAAGTTGTCGCTGTTGCGCTCACGCCCTAATACAGTATTAGATGCGGTTAAAGTCAGACATGAAAAACTCCACGAGCGGTCAGACCGCGCAGCAGCTAGGCGCAGCAAGTAGGCGCCGGATCGGTCAGGCTGCCCGGCCTGACCGCTGGGGATTACCGGATGGAAGAATGGACACAGAAGTCTCCCTCTTAGCGCTCCGTCATATTTCAACCCATTTTGATCTTTTACCATATTACCCATCTAAATATGCCCTATTAATTATTTTACCGTATTTTACATTTAAATTTCATGGTTAAACAGTACATGCTACATGTTAAACTGATAGTTAGCTAGCTACTTCGGTAAACTCAGCTAGTTTAAAGGCAGCAGTGATATAAAATACGAATATAGATTTTAACTTACCGAAAAAAATGAAGTGGAGACTCCTTGGACGCTCTATTAGTGCAATTAATACCACAGCAAGTCATTTTGTCCAACAATTGCACCAATATTATCCAAAACAGAATTCACAAGCACAGAGACTCAAAATCCCGACACAGTTTCCAGGAGAGACCGAGGCTGTACTGAGGCCTTTCCACGGAGCTAGCTCTGTGGTCACGTGGGTCTGAGGCGGCGGTCACGTGTGTCGGATGCTCATTAATTATACAGAATTTTAGGCTTTCAATACACTTAAACAGAAGAGTGAGAAAAAAATTCACCCCCCTCAGAGTTGTCATGAGTATAAACTCGATAATTTAGACAAAAAACATGTTTTGGTACCAGGCTGTAAACATGTTTATTTCTGCTGTGAAATCGGCATTTTTAACATGGGAGTCAATGAGGATTTGCTCGCTTCTGGCAGCAGCCCCCAGCGGATGAGGGTGGAACTGCAATTTTTCTTACTTCCGGGTTGGGACCATTTTTAGAGAGGCATTGTGGGGGCTTGGTTTGAACAGGGCGCGCTGTGGCGTTCGGGGCTCGACACACGTCATGGTGGAGGCGGAGCTAATAATCGACTGTGTTCACGTGCTCATGCGCGACATGTCCTTTGTTACGTCATAGAACGCCATATTAGGACAATTAACTGCAGCATATAAGGGATAATTGGACCCAAACACAAGTCATTCAGTTCAGATCAGCACACTGAGAAGCTGTCTGGATTGTATCTGCGTCGTGCCACTTCTGTCAATACTATTGGAGATTGAAAAGGGGAAAAAATCAGGATTTGGTTGTAAAATGTTTGAACTTGAAAAAAAATTAATTTCTTAAGCGTCTTTTTTACAGAACCAAAACCAAAAACATTGGCTATGTGTACGAAGGCTTGAAAGAAATAATCTACATAGAGAAAACGAGGATTTAAGTGGGCAATTGCATCTTGCTTCTAAGCAAAGGACCCGGTTTCGCCTGGTCAATGAATACGTAAGTCAGACATGCCAAGAAGAGTTGCAAGATTGTGACAAAGAATTATCAGAAAACTTGTACAGGCACTGCCCCACAAATGGCCGAAGATGAAAATACAAGCGTTACAGATGATGTGTCATATTCTGTAAAACGAGACACTCAAGAACCTCATTTTTTTCCAAGTTCACAAATTTTGGTAATTATAACGTTGGGCCAGGTAGTAGATACATAACACGGTAGCTAGTTAGCCGTTACTCTTACCTGTGAGCAGACGTGGGGCCGTCCACACGGTTTATCAGACACCGCTCGCGTTGCTTTGGGAATCAATGGAACACAGTTCCTCGGGGAAATCTCTCTGGGGATCGACTGTCTGACTTACAGACGCCGTGGGCGCGATGCTATTCATCTTCTTGACTTTGTCGGACCTCCTCACACAGTAAAGTTTGCTATGATGTGTAATTGGACAAAATATGGACCTACTCTTGAGTTGGCAGCCGCTGTCCTACTGAGGCGCATGCCTTTCATAAACATAGATGATCCCATTTTCAGACAGGTCAGCTCTGTCGTATTTTGTTGCAACTGAAATGCAGGAATCATCGACCTTTATGGTCTTGTTCTCATAAATCACATATGTGTAAAAGTGTTCCAAAGATGAAGTCAAGACCTTGTGACAAATGACAGAAGACAGGGTGTATGTCTCTGTCCCACTTTCCTGGGGAATGTTGAGGGTTGCATCCAGACGAACTGATACGTTGTCTCCTGGGTTTCTGGGCAGATATAAAGCAGTCACGTCTGGGGAATTAAAGTACACACGGTCTGTTGTTTCACCTCCACAGTCTCTGCACCATTTTGCGTCCTGTCCATCTAAAGACATATGGTGCAGGAGAGACGTGGTGGAGTCGTTTACTTCTGGCAGTGATAGGAAACAAATGCTGCTCTTGGTGGAGTGGTCGATTGAATCCCACCCACAGTCGCTACACTGGCTCACATTAGTCACCTCCAGACGTGACTGGATCCCACATTCTTCTAGCCAGTCCATGACCGGTTCGAAAAAATCCACGATGTCGTTCTGCTGTCCCAGGCGTAACGATGGGATTTTCTGGCTTAACTTCTTCAGAACTGGATGTATTTCACTTGGGGAGAAAGACTTTCCCGGGTTTTTCACAGCTTTGAGGAATACATTCGAAAACGGTGTTTGTGGAAGTCTGGCGCGGGTTTTTAAAGTGTTTCTGACAGATTTAAGGTTTATAATCGACTGGACTGTAGAATTCATCCAGCAGTTATTAAACAAGTTTGAGAAATAGCAGAAGTGTTTTTTAAATATTTCTCCTGATGGTTGGGCAAAATTACTGAAACCGCCGACAGATTTTGTTGAGAAATTGCTACATACAGATTTTCTGGGTTTTGGCAGACCTGTCTCTTTCCCAGGAATACTTACTCTAGGAGGCTGTTGGTTTTGTTTGAAGATCACGGTTTTCTGCTTCGTGGCATCTGGCTGTACACAAGCAGCTAAAGTTGGCTTAGACACGGCTTTTTCAAAGAAACTGGAGTCCGTTTGAGTTGAGACTTCTTTTGAAAACGTTTGGGTTGAAACTGTTCTGGTATCTGTCTGTGAAAGAGACTTTTGTAACAGAATAATAAGTTTTTCTTGCATGTCCAGCTTATCCAGCAGAGCTCTAATTAATTCACTTCGAGTAGAAACAGGTGGAGCTGCTGTTTTACAGAATTTGATTTTGGATTTTCCATTTGCATTCTGTTTCTTGTTTGTGGTCTTTTTTGAGTGTGCGGTGAAAAAGTTAACACATTTCGCAAACACGGATCTAAGTGACGGCATGTTTGCTTTATGTGTTCTTAAAAGTGGGTGAAATGTAATCTCTTCTGCGAGCTAAGACGTGACGTCTGACTGGAAGCTAGAAGGTATGACCTATGTGTCCCCTACTAGTATCAAAGGAATAATGATGACATCATCGGTCATGTGACATAAAGGGTCTGGATGTTGTTGTTGTTTTAGTTGCCATTAACTACTACTGCATGAAATTTGCATAATAACCAATTAAATATGCGCATAATTAATTAATTGATTGATTAGATGCCAGGCCCTCTATAGAGGCATTTTTACATGTGCATGAACAATATCATTATTTAGACACAGATTGCTTTAATACCAAGTTTTTAATACCAAAGCTTTTTTAAATTGTCATTTATGAATTGTCTTTTGAATCATCATCTTTAAATTGTTAGTAATAAATTCTTCACTTTTTAAACCTGACTCTTCTTTGAATAAAACACAGAGTGGTGCATTTGGTCACTGAACGAGCAAAGATCTCTTTAGATCTTCTGAATTAATAAATAAACTTTTGCTATTAATTTAAATCTCTTAAATTAAATATTAATCTTTTGATTAAATATAGACCAAGCCAGTTGGTGTAGTAACTTCTATCGATTATATAAATATCCATGGATGTATTCCCGACATTTTATTTAAAGTCTGTTGATCCAGTTGGTTTAATGTTTAATGTCATCACTGACCTATCCCCAGCAGTCAACGGGCAAGTAGGCGGGGTACACCCAGGACAGAGAGCCAGACCACTGCAGGGCAACACCGAGACACACAGGACAATCATGCATACACACACTCACACCTATGGACATTTTTAGACAGACTAATCAACCTAACAGTCATGTTTTTGGACTGTGGGAGGAAGCCGGAGTAACCAGAGAGAACCCACACATGCAGACCCAACTGAAATGTTTACATTTAAAATTCCAACAGAAGCAGGAGTTGTAACTCTGAGGCTTGCAGGTAAGTGTGGTTCTCTATAGTGAAAAAGTGAGCTATTTAGTGGCTTTGACTGAAGTCAAGCATCTCTGTTCAACAACCGACACAGAACGGAATTACAACTGGCTTTCTGAATCAGCACTCACGGGGGTTTGAGGCGCCCTCTGGTGGTCAAACGCTGCCAACACATGCCAGTTTCGTACTCAAAAGGAGAGCTTGTAATAAGAATTGGCCTGGGGGCACTTACTGTTGGCTACAAAAGAAATAAATAATAACCCATGCAGAAAATGCAAGAAAATTAAAACTGTACAGAGCTAAATCAGTAAAATACAGTAGGTCACCAATTAGATAAATAATCAAGGTACAAAAGACCATTACCATAGTTTTAGGTGTTTAATAGAATGCTCCCCTTTATGCTTGTAATTCATTGTTTCTCTTTGACATAAAGCTTTTTGCGTGGCAGGCTCCTATGTCTAAATATTTTCAAATTTTGTGAATGTCAACAAATTTGCAAATACCTGTCAGTTTCTGGTGGATTTGGAGTGCTCTGCATGTGAGACAGTTGCATAAACAAAGCAGGAAATGAGCTAAAAAACCAGTTTCAAGCCAAATCCGAGAATTAAATTCTGGTTAAATAAACTGCTGTTACTGGTGTCCAGCAGCAGCAGCGATTAACCGTAGTTCAACTACATCATGTTTGATGCACTCACTGTAGAAAATGATGAAACTACACTTCTCAGTGAAACTCAGCTAATGTTGTTCTTGGTCAAAGTTACAAGGAGCCCCTTCAGAGGACTTCTGTTTAACTGTTGTGTGTTTTTAGCAGCGTGTGTGAAAACCCAGGTGGCTGGAGAGAGCCCTAGCTGATGGTGTCCTGCTCCCCAACTCGGTGATCAGGTGCTGGAAGAAGGAAGAGCAACGCTCCAGCAGCTGGAACATAATTACTCCGTCATGGCCTACTACAGGAAGTTCAAATCACTCAATGAGCAGCAGGAAATCAAGTGAACTCTGGTCAAATGCTGCTGATGCGAGCGTGCGTTTTCCAGCTGTACATCGTCAGGGGGACCAGCGTATCTTTTATTTTACCAGCCCACAAGAGCGGTCACAAGCGACGTGGTTCTCTAAGTGAGGATTGTTGGAACCTGGGAGACCGAGGACTCCCATTTATGACGTCACAGCAGAATCTCTTCTCCCCCAGCGTAGCAGCCACTTCCCACAGGGCCAGTTTTGGTTCTCTTCTCCGTGTCTGGTTTGATGAGCAGGTGTAATCCACCACGTTTTCACAAAACCTAAAAGATATTTTGCTGCCTGTTGAAAATAAATGCTTTTTGGCATCAAATGTGTTTTTAAAATTCAGACATCAGGTGTTAAATCAATGGTACATCAAACGGGATCTGAGAGTAACCGTTTCCCCCTCACACTCTGGACTGGGCGTAACCTAGGCTGAGTGTTGGGGGTCACACCGGTACCACTGTCCCCAGACAGACATCCAATAAAAACTATTTACTCTGATTTTTGCACTTTGCCAAAAGTCCCATCAGCTGGAGAAAGAAATCCACCAAACCCAGCGCTTACTTTGGCACAACACCGGGTCATCAAGCCAAAGCAGGACAAAGCTTTCCCAATGTGAGATGGAATGTCACCAACAGTATCGACATCACAGAACCAATCCAAGCTGCAGGATCCGAATGCACGTATAAACCTTGGAGTTGTAAAAGGAGCTCGAAACCAAAAAATCTGCATGAGTGACAAAATCATTTACTACCAAGTCACCTTTGTGCTTTCAGCTCCTCGAGTTGAACTTTTACCACTCTGCAGAAACCCTGTTCTACGTTTTTGGGGTGTCTTCTTTAAGATTAAAAATCTCACCAAGAGGTAAAGACATTAAAGGTGCATTATGTAGAAAGTAAGTAAAAATGACACCCTGTGTTAAATGTGGTTGCTGCAACCACTTCAAACAACTCTGGAGCTTTGTGCCAGCAGTCGTCAGATTACAAATGTCGGCGCTGCAGCGTCAGCTCTCAAGAGACACGGCAACGCCACCGATGGTTAACAGCAGTTACTTTCCTCATTTCTTTATTTTAAAAGGAGAAAAACTGATGATCCATCAGCCAGCTGGATATGAAATATCTTTCAGTATAACCTTCCTTCCAAAAAACAAACAAACAGACTAAATTAGATTTAACACCTGATTTCACTCAGCAGGTGATTAACAGGTTGAGCTGCTGCACAGGGGACTCAACCACTGAATTGTGTGTTTGGAGCAGAGAAACAACTAAAATGTGCTGGATACCGGCCCTCCAGGACTGGAATTAAATACCCCTGCATTAGACTAGATTCTTACATGGTGCACCTTTAATTTCTAACTAAAGAATCAAGTCTAAAAGAAAGACGAGCAGAGGGAAGTGTGCTGTGAAAAGTGGGGTCACTCGGTGCTTTAATACGCGGTCTGTTAGGATGCCTTGTGCAGCAATAATTAGAGAAACAACTCTAGCACACGAGCTTCTTCAAACCAGCCCAGGCTGCGACTGAGACGGGCCTGAAGCCCAGGGCAACCCCGCAAAAAGGCACAAGCTTTCATCTGCAATTAGAGCCATTTTCATCTTTAATTAAATATCTTTTTAATAAAGTAAAGCAAAAACTATTTACAATTTCTTAATTAAATTGTAATTAATGGGTTGGATAATTACAAGCACCTTCTGCCAGATGAGAGAAAAATATAAATACAGGAAAAACGGTTGCTTTGCTTCAAAGGGGGAGGGGTGACATTAGCATCTCTTTTACGGGGGGGGAATCTTATTTATTTACACAACTCTCCTGAAATGCATTTCCACTCGTGGAAGCAAGAAGGCCTTAGAATTTAAATGGTTATACTTTTTCCTCAAAGTCTTTTCTTGTTAACGTTGCTTTACTCGTTTCACAGATGATGCTGAATCTTGCTCTGGAGGCGAGTGCAGCAGCGAGAGCGCTCCCTTTCTCTGGGTTTTGTGTTTGAAGCGCAGGGAACAGGCAAAATGGAAACATGAGGGTGGAGTAAAGGGTGGGCTTGGAGGTTCAAGTGTTCATCACCCCGTCCTGAACCGTCGCTCCCGTCTGAAAGGCTCTCTCCACTCTTCTTTGTAGTTTTGTTATTTTATTAGAAAACACACGATCCAGCCAGCCAGCCAGCGCCGAGGAACAGGAACTACTCATCTACACAGGCGCGGCGCATAGATCACACGCACGTGGCCGTGGCCTGCCCACGCGCGAAATGATGTCATCAAAAATAGAGATGTGAACAGCCTTTAGGTTTGTTCTTATATCTGCAAAGCCTCTTCAATAGTGTCGCTGTGATGAGAAGCCATTTGCAAATAAGCTTTGAAAAACGACACTGAAGGAAACATGATCTCTTACAGCTTGTAATAATTTGTAGATTTTTCTTTCATATAATCTATCCCATGTTGTATCTTCTCATTAAAAAAAGACATTCTGTTGCTAGGGTAAATACAAGAACCCCCCTCCCCCCCAAAAAAAGATAGAATGTTCAATCCATAATACAATCTCTCCCGTTTGAAGATTTTCTCTCTTCTCTTCTTATGCAGAAGGTTTCTGCCAACTCAGACTCTTGAGGTCCGGTCCGGTCCGAGCGTCCCAGCTGCTCCTAGCTGTTGTCAGATTCGTCCTCGGCCTCGCGGAGCCACGTGAAGAAGGCGGTGACGGACTTGAGGGCCACGCCCTTGCCCTGCTGCTCAGCAGGGTCTTTGCTAGACTCCCATTCATAGAAGGCCTCCTCTTTGATCACGTCCTCGTCGTAAAGCGTGTCAAAGAACATCCGCAGCAAATCTGGATGGAAAAACCACAGATAATGAACATCATCACAGAACAACACCTACGCTCTACAAGCTAAAATCTATTATTATACACTTCCTGATCCAAAACTCATCAATGCAGGACCGTTTAAAAAGAACATACCCGTGGTGTTCCACAGGGTTCAGTATTAGGACCCCCAAGTTCCTTAAAGAGCAAGTCACCCACCCCCACCCCCCCACCAGAATCCACCTTCATTTCCTACTTGAAAAGCGTGTCAAAAGGAGGGATTGCCTAGCAGACCACAATGTAGAGCAGCTTTAAGCTGGAGGACGCTACACTGCAGAATATGTTATATTTAAACAAGATGCACTAAAATGGAGCAGCTGAGTGTGAAGCAGCTGGGATGAGAATCAGCTCCTCTAAATCCCAAGTGGAGGAGTTTAAGAATCTCAGGGTCTTGTTCACGAGTGAGGGAAAGATGGATCGCAAGATTGACAGGTGGATTGGTGCTGCATCTGCAGTGATGCGGGCGTTGTATAAATCCGCCGTGGTGAAGAGAGAGAACCGGTTCCAACTGTTGGTTTTTCCCAGAATCGTTCAAAATTCTTTATTTCGATTCCTAGAATGCCGACCGGAAGAGGAATTCACGGCCAATCTCTGTGAAAAATAAACGTGATCTGCAAATTGTGATCAACGCTTTTCAGAGCTGATCACACCAGCTGTCTGTGTGCAGCACCGAGTCCCCCCCATATAAACAAACGCGTCTGCCGAACTTTTACTCCGTAGTGTAAACTTTAACTCCTGCAACGTAGAGGAAACTTGTTAAATACGTCAACACAGTGGATTTAATAGAAGCTTTAAAGAACAAACTCTGGACGGTGTGAGGTGAGTTTGTCTCAGTGCAGAAATAACAACACACACGGAGCGTCAGCAGTCAGACACGTGAGCATCAGAAGGCTCAACAATAACCTGTAGAATAATTAAAGTCATCATGTTAGAGCAGCTTCTCTGTGGTGGACCACACCAGCTTCTGCCACAATAAATAATAATAATAATAACAAATAACTTTTTTTATTTCCTTTTTTAACTATTTCTGTTGAGTTTTAAAGGCCCTAATGTGTGAAATCCATTGAAATCATGATAAAAATGTGACTCTTCAGCAACATGCAGTTCAGAGACAGTATTACAGCTACGGTGGCTCACTCATGAGTTTGACTGTATAGACCCTTTTACTACCTACGTCAACAAAAGTTGCGAGCGCAGCCTGGCAACGAGAGCGAAGGCTTCCTCATTCACACTCGATACTAAAACAGCGTTTTAAACCCTTTGTTTTGAAGTTCTGAGCACATAAAAATGTCGGGTTGTTGCGTGTATGGATGCCAGAATCGCTTCTCTTCAAGCAGTGGACTGAAACTTTACAGAATTCCGAAGGGAGCACATCCATTTCAACAAAATCGGAGGCGTCTGTGGCTGCAGGCCATCAAAAGGGTTGATGAAAACTGGACTGAAAACACGATCCGAAATGCTCGAGTTTGTAGCGCCCATTTTATATCAGGTAAGGTAATTATGTACTAAGATTACACCAGAAAGCTGGTTAACGTGTGTTCTATTAAATAAAGAAAGTTGCGTTTGCTTTTAGGCAGTCTATTTATTTACAGGCGAGGTGTCACTGGACTCCTCGAGTGTGTGCTGTATATAAACTCCCACGGATTACCAGCAAAAGGAGTCATACAACCAAAGTCTAACGTTTGAGAAGAAGCCCTCTGAGTCGGAGTGTCTCTGTAACGCGTGGAGAACTACATCGCCTTTAGTAAAGTGTTGTGGAGATAAAGTAAACAACGCTGGTTTAGCCACTAGCTAGCGGCGAGAAGGCAGGCGAGACCGGATCGGGAGTTCTGGTACTGAGAAAAGATGAATGAGGTGAGTTTGGGAGTCAGAGACACTAATCGGAGGCTGGCGTCCAGATAATAGCGGGTGGGGGTCTGAACATATGCAGCTTCCTTGTGTTGGACATGATGATGAACTGACTAGTTTTATGTGTCTTTTGATTTAATTGTTATTTATTCAAACGAACAAGTACAGCAACAGTGTAGCTATTCTTCTCCATTTCTTAGTTGAATTACCAGAGTCCATGCTTCAAGGGCGCACTGCTGCCCTCTGCTGGTTCTTTCAGGTTACAGTCATAGTCCAAACGCGTAACGTGGAGCTCGTATGTCCCTAAACAGCTACTGTATTTTAAGATGGCGGATGACCATGGAGCCTCGCCCACAGTTTATGTATATAAAAATGTAAAATTTCAAGTTGGGAGGAATATTTAGAGTTGATGTTGGTGAGAAATATTAGTGAAAAAGTTTGTGAACTGGAAACGCAAGATTTGATAGTAAACAGGTAAAAATATCACACACTGGGGCTTAAATGTTTAAAATCTGTTAGATTGTTACCGACAGCAGCTACGTTTAAGTTTAACTTCCTGTTCTGACTGAACGCTGCTGCAGCATGGAGGTGTAGTTCTCAGTCATCCTGGACATGATCATCCTGAGAGCTTTAGCTGAAAACAGCTGGACGTTTCTGGATGTGTTGGAGACATTTAGCCTCTCATCCCAGAGGCTTCTTCCAGACGTTGGTTGTGGTCAGAAACAAACACACTGGTTGTGCTGAAAGTCTTTTTCTTTTTTGTCTAAATGAAGGTGATGTTGTTCATAGTTAAAATTCATGTTGAAGATTATTTCATCCAGTAGGACCTGTGGTTAGCTGGCTCATGTAAAACATGTCATGTCTTGAAAGAATCGGAATCGGGAATAGATAGGAACCAGAATCGAAACAAGGAATTGGAATCTGAATCATTCAAAATCAAATGATGCCCAACCTTAATGGTGACCGAAAGAATGAGATCACGAATACAAGCGGCCGAAATTAGTTTTCTCCGCAGGGGGGCTGAGCTCCACCCAGAGATAGGGTGAGAAGCTTGGTCATCCGGTGGGGGCTGGGAGTAGACCCGCTGCTCCTCCACATCGAAAGGAGCCACTTGAGGTAGCTCAGACATAGTTAGGATGCCTCCCTGGTGAGGATTTCTGGGCACGTCCAACTGGGAGGAGACAAAGGAAGACCCGCTGGAGGGACTACGTCTCACGACAGGACAGGGAACGGAAGGAAATTTATTTTCCTCCCTTTTAGTCCTAGATGCTATGGGGAAAATGAACGCCAATATGGCGTGATGATGTCATCAATACGTAAATCAGCACGTGAGGTCATCTGGCGACATCTAGCGACTTTTGGGGGGAACTTCAGCTACTTTCAGTCAAAAACAGTTGGCAACACTGGCTGGCTCAAGTGGCTGGGGAGAGGGAAGTCTGGGCCTTTCTGCTTAGGCCGCTGCCCCATCGACCCAACCCCAGATAAACGGCTGAAAATGGCCGCTCGCATCTACAACACTATCAGACACTAGCTTACAGAGTTTATCAGCAAAGGAAAGTTGATTTTGGGAGGGGCTTGCTCTTTAAAATATCTTTGATTTTGATGCATATAAAATAAATAGTTAAAACTGTTGAAAAAGATCAGCCATTGGGAGTTACCGTAAAGAGCGTAAAACTAAATTTGAGCTGACTTAAAGATTTAAGGCCTAAATGGTTTTCCCATGAAAAATCTGTTTTAATGTGTGTTTTATTATAAACCGCAAACAGACTAATGAGGAGCATTTGAATACGTGTTAAAACTTGGTGACATTAATGTAAAACCATGGGCTGCATGGTGGCGCAGCTGTTAGCACTGCTGCCTCGCAGGTTCAAAACTCGGCTGTGGCCTTTCTGCGGGGAGTTGTGTGTTCTCCCCATGCATGCCTGGGTTTCCTCCGGAGACTCCGGTTTCCCCCACAGATCACAACACGCCCGATAGGTTATAAATTGTAAGTTGCTTTGGATAAAAACGTCTGCCAAATAAATAAACATAAAACAAACAGATCTGCTATTAAACCTGTCTGCTACAAGTGCTTTACACATCAATGGCTGTGTGTTCACTTATTCTGAGGTTATTGAAGCCATAGACCGACTAATTTGTGTTGCATCAAAATGTCATGACTTCAGCGTTGTCCTATGAAAAGATAATTACATTTTAAATCAAAAGTGAGGGACGTGCTAAATTCTAGATGTGTTTGAGCCAAATGAGGGTTTTTCTAATCATTTAAAATGCAAAAGAACATTTAAATGAGCTAAAACTGTGAGCTACCACTAAAACTCACTGATGTGTGCAGACAGGGAGTTCTTTAGGGTTCTTTGGTTTGTATGTTTCTTTTTCTGACTTGTAGATTTATTTGTATGGCTTGATGCCTTTTGTGTGGGGTGGGCGTGAAAAGGCTTTGGCTTTTTCTTTTCTACAACACAAACCTGAAAAAACAGTAATAAACTGAATTGGACCTTGGTTCCCACGGCTCCTTGAGGATTAAAAAATGTTTTCTGAATCTCTCTTTCTCAATTGTTTGGGTTTGTGTTGGAAAAGTTTTATTCTAATATATGAATCACACGATTTTCTAAAACCATTTAGCAGAAATCACAAAGAGATTTGTGTTCAGAAACAGGAAGCGGATCCTTACTGGCAGGTTGCTCCATCTGCACCATCAGAGCCTGCAGGGCGTAGAGAGCCTGCAGCTCCTTCTGCTCATCCTTCAGGTATCTCTGCAGCAGTTTGGCCCTCTGCTTGATCTGCTCACCATCCACCTTGTACGGGTTCTCACCTGCAGAAAAATCAAAAACAGCAGAGGCTGAATTATTATTGGACCCAGCAAACCTACCTACCACACCTAACAAACCTCTGAATGATCGACAGGTAAACGCACCCCCCTCCCCATTAGGACACAGGGCGCTCCAGGATCTGACTACATGAGTGCAAATGGATACGCTGCTTTACCGATATGGCAAGCCAGTGTATTAAATAACAAATAACACGATGAAAACTAATCAACTTATTGAAATCTTCCATTCATTTGAGACAAAATGACTAAAAATGATGCATTTGAAACAACGCAGCTGGAAACGTTTACAAACTTTTGGATATACCGTATTTTCAGGACTATAAGCCGCTACTTTTTTCCCACGCTTTGAACCATGCCGTAGAGCCCTGCACGGGCCTAAAATCTGAGCCCGTGTCCGGCCCGGTCCGAGGGGATGGAGCCCCAGCCCGACCCGGTCCGAAAAGGTTTTCAGGATTCTCTGGCCCGACCCGAGCCCGACCTTTTTTTCAACGTTTCATAATGTTTTAGCGTGACAGAATGCTCTGCATTCTAATTATCTGTGAGAAGCGTTCTGCAGTAAAAAAAAAAAAAAGAAAGAAAGAAAGAAAAACAGCATTAATGCAGCTTTTTTTCTAACAGAGAATATTTTGCGAGCGGCAGATGAAATTTACGAAAGCTATATTAATTGGATGCGTTTGTAAATGTAATCTGCTCTGAAAATGCGTTCTTGTGCAATTAGAAAAAAGCAGCATTCTAATTTTCTAACTGCAGAGCGCATTTTCAGAGCGGCAGATTAAATAAACGCCCCCAATTAATACAGCGTTTGTAAATTTAATCTGCCGCTCTGAAAATGCGCTCTCCAGTTAGAAAAAACCAGCAATGAATGCTGTATTTTCTTTTAAACTGCAGAGCGAATTTATTCACAGAAAAACAGAATGCTGCCGTTTTGATGAGAATAAACGGTTTCGGACATCAAAGTGGACATAAAACGGCATATTAGAATAGGGGCACATGTTTCAGTCAGCAGTTTGAGAATTTGTTTATACACCACACACACCTTAACTGAGCTAACGGTGCGTGAGAAGCAGGCAGGTGCTGCTGCGTTTAAGTGTTTCAGTTGTTTTTAATGAATTCGATTAAAAGTAAAAGCGCCCGGCCCGTGTCCGAGGTAATTACACAGTCGTTAGCCCGAAGCCCTAGGCCGGGCCGACCCACGGGCCTAGAGCTTCAGTGCGGCTTATAATGAGGTGCGGCTTTACTGAAGATTTTCCTTCACCTGCCACTAGGGGGCGCTTTAGCAGAAAGTGAAACAAGTGGAAGTCAAAAGTGGAAATCGAAGTACGTAAGTGCTCATTTTAATTTAGCACATGCAAGCAGCCGGCATGACAAAGAATTTTTTCTAATCCATACCCCCTCATCATGGTAACTACATGTATGAGTTCATATGTTGCCGCATTTAAGTTGAAGGCCATCGATCTGGCAGTAAAGGAGGGAAACGGTGCTGCCACACGTAAGCTTGGCATGAATGAATCCATGGTTCGGCGCTGGAGACGGCAGCAGGAAGAACTCATTCAAGCCCGCTTCACCCGGGGAGGATGACAGCAACACGGACAGCGACACTGACATTGCCACAGAAAAGGTATGTGACGACGCTCTTCTGAGGCTGTTCAACTCCGACACTGAAGACGAGGACTTTAATGGCTTTAGTGCGCAAGAGGAAGATGAGAGCGAATAACTTCTTCTGATAGGCAAGTGTTTTATTTACTAACCAGACATGTTTTGTGTGCAGTTTTTATTTTCTAATCATCCAGGGCTTTTTAATGCTGTGTCAGCGCTGTTATTTTCTTCTAAACACGCAAATTACTGGTAATAACGTGTCAGTGCTGTTTTTATGTTATAACCATCCAGAAGTATGAATGCTATCAGTACTGTTTTCTTTTCTAAACTTGCAGGCACATTCACCCGTGTTTAACTTTTATTTTGTTGAATTAAAACAACAACAAAAAACCTCCGTGTAGCGTCTTTCTGTCTAATTATCTTATGTTATGGCCGTACATGCGCCGTGCGCTGGAGACCCGCATGTGGCTGCTGCGCCGCGGCTTGTATTCGAGTGCGGCGTGTGTGTAGAAAACCTTTTTTGTTGCTGGTGCGGCTCATATTGAGGTGCGCTCTATAGTCCGGAAATTACGGTATTCAGATTTTTAAGTTGTTTTATAATAAAATTTTAGTGAGTTTAACATAAAATTTCTGGACGTTTCTTCTTTAAAAAAGATTGTTATGGATGAAAAACATCTAAAATGTTGATTCTGGATCAAAGATCTGGAAAAGTTAATTTTCATTTGGACTTAAAGTAAATAAACTCTGCACGTCTGGTCTTGCGACCATGCAGTTGCATGGAGACGGTCCACTCACAGATGATTGCAGACTGGCAGATGCAGGTCATTAGTGCTCTGATGAACGTGTTAGAAGAAGCCTGCTGCTCATTCAGGTTGGCCTGCAGAGAAAATCGCAGAAACATGAATAAAACAAGGATTCAATAGTTTAAATAAAACAGCGGATCCATCAGGAACAACTACTTCCGCTGTGTGACCTTTTTCATAAATACAATCCAAAGTGTGAGCTGGAAATGTCCTCGCTACAGATCGGAGAAGATAAATTCGTTCTGATGCAAAAAAAAAAAGCAGTCCATTTCTCTGCAGCACAGCCACAGACGGGTGGTCCTACAAACCTCGACCCAGTCAAAGATCCTCTGGTTGTCAGCTTTGTCCTGGATCAGCCTGTCCAGCTGTCTGCTCAGCTCAGAGGAGCTCAGCTCCTTCCTGCTCCCCTCGGACTCGTCACCCAGAGTGAACTCAACATTCTGCAGATGGAGAGGAGAACCACGAAGGGTTAGGGTTGCTTAACCCATCTCAATAATGTCCTTTTTATCACATGGTAGAAAAACCAACTGGTGGGGGATTTAAAGGCTCAGTGTGTTCTTATGTCAGAGTATTGTGATGATGCTCCAGCCAGATGTTTCCACCTTTAGCTGTAAGAAACTTTTAACCTTATTTCACTTTCTGCTCAGTCGTAACAAAAATATTTACCTGCTGTCAGTTTAAACACAAAAAACACCATCATTTAAAGACAGTACTAAATATAGGAATTATGTTGGGCGCTATTTTAGGGATGGGTACCTTTGACATTTGAATCGATCCAGTACTAATTCCCGGTACCTAGGAATCGATACCAGTACTTAACGGTACCAGTTTTCGATACTTTTGAGTGTTTATCATTTTAATTCTCTTTTATAATTAAATATATATTTTTCTCAATATATAACAATATTTGATAAATATCACGATAAATAACATTCAACTGTTTGTAATTTAACATCGTCCTTGTAGTTTTATAAGCTGATAATTAAACTGAGGCAAACATCTTTACTGTGAACTAAATTTACTGTGTATCTTCATTCCTTTTGCCGTCCTTTTTCATTTGATTTTTCCTACTGGGAAGTTAGAATTTCCGAGGAGAAAGCGAACGCACCATTAGCTGATAACAACGGTAGCAACGGAAGCTAACATATCAAGCTAACGTTATCTTAAACAGTTTATGTAGCTGCTGGAGCAGATTAAAACGATGATGCCTCACACTTAGATCGTTGTCGCTGGTTTCATCTTCATCCAATCACCCGTCGCATTTAGTAAAGTGAAGCCAAACTTTAGAGCGCGTTCATGTTCTTCTAATCGGAATTTCGGAGTTCCGAGGAGAAAGCGAACGCACCATTAGTGAAACGGAAGCTAACAAATCAAGCTAACGTTATCTTAAACATTTTATTTACCTACCGGAGCAGATTAAGATGAGGATGTCTCACTTAGATCGTTGTCGCTGGTTTCATCATCACCCAGTTAGCCATCACATTTAGTGAAGTGGACCCAAGCGTTAGCGTGCGTTCTTTCTACCATGCTGCTCTGTTTACAACTGGCTCGCAGCGACCAATGACATAACGCTCTCGCGCATGCGCAGCTGTCTAGGCAAGTTCTCGTTGTGAAGGACGGGTACCGAAACGAGGCACCGTTTCAAATGAAGTGAATCGGTGCTCGGTCGGTACTATGGAATTCGGTCGGTACCTTAAAAAGTACCGAATTCGGTACCCATCCCTAATTAGTATGTATCTAAAATATTCTATTTAATGAAAACGTCCAAAGTATCCTGGATGAGTGGAAAAACAGTTTAAGAAACATCTGGCAGAAAAGCTAACCAGACTGTACGACTGAAGGAGGTTATGACTGACATTGTAAAAGATCATTTTCTTCATTCTGCTTCGTTTCCACTCTAATTAATAGTAATCATGTAACAGTGATCCCTTTTCTCTCTCACCTTTTCTGTCACAAACTTGTTGACATCAACGTCCTCGGGAAGGAAGTCCGTCCACCGAAGGCCCGCCTCCCTCCACATAGTGCCGGCCTTTTTATGGCTCTGATGGGAGGAACAAGAACAGGTGATGGACCACCATGGAAACACATACTGAGGCTAACCCTGACGTTTGTCGTTTTAAACTTTCACACATGTGGTACAATGAGAAACTCACCATCTCCTTGCAAAGTAAAGTGAGAATGTGGACCAGCAGGACTCCAGCTTTGCCCAGAGGAATCAAAGGCTTTGAAATCTCCCTGAAGGCCAAACACAGCAAAAGATGTTCAGGACCAAACTAAAACCATTCGAGCAACGGCAGCGCTGGTGGAGCTCACCTGAAAAGTTCTCCCATTGGGATGCCTCCCTCATGCAGCATGGGAGTGAGCAGCTCTGCCAGGTAGAGGAAGATGTGGGGGATGTCTATTGCCATGTCCTCAGCCACCTCCAGAATCTCCTGAAACCTGGAAACACACACAGAACACAACCATAACCCGTTTTTCTATAATCACGATGCCATCGTGTTTTAGTGTGCATTTCATTCCTATTTAATGTTTACGTTGATATCTTTTAGGAGTTCGGTGAGCCAACTCTTCCCCTCGTGATGAAGATTGAAGCGTGTCTGGATCAGAATTAGCTTAACACTCCTCACAGATATAAATATGCTACATATGATACCACAAAGCTAAATGTTCACATTAGGCAAAAAAGTTCTTAAAAGACTTTAAATCATCGTGAACAACACATCACACACTAAACCATTTAGGACCTAGCACTCTGAAGCCAACGCAGGAAAATTAAAGCTTCTTTCCGGAGTATTTCTCTTATCCGATGGCACCATCTAGTGGCTGACAAGCGTATCACACAAAACCGCTGTTCCTCAGTTTTTTTAAGATGGCGACTTCACGTTTCGTGTTTATAAATGTGCTTCTGTAGCCGACAAACAGCTAAAACACATTGTTTTACGAGTATTATACTCATGTCATGTTGTGTTTTCATATACAGGTGCTGGCCAGTAAATTAGAATATCATCAAAAGGTTGAAGATATTTCAGTAATTCAATTCAAAACGTGAAACTTGTACATTATATTCATGCAATGCACACAGACCAATGTATTTCCAATGTTCATTACATTTAAATTTGATATTCATAAGTGACAACTAATGAAAACTCCAAATTTGGTATCTCAAAAAATTAGAATATTCTGAAAAGGCTGAATATAGAAGACACCTGCTGCCACTCTAATCAGCTGATTTACTCAAAACACCTGCAAAGGCCTTTAAAAGGTCCCTCAGTCTTGTTTTGAAGGCACCACAATCATGGGGAAGACTTCTGACTTAACAGCTGTCCAAAAGACAATCATTGACACCTTGCACAAGGAGGGCAAGACACAAAAGGTGATTGCTAAAGAAGCTGGCTGTTCGCAGAGCTCTCTGTCCAAGCACATTAACAGACAGGCGAAGGGACGGAAAAAATGTGGTAGAAAAAAGTGTACAAGCTCTAGGGATAACCGCACCCTGCAGAGAATTGTGACGACAAACCCATTCAAAAATGTGGGGGAGATCCACAAAGAGTGGACTGCAGCTGGAGTCAGCGCTTCAAGAACCACCACGAGGAGACTCATGAAAGACATGGGATTCAGGTGTCGCATTCCGTGTGTCAAGCCACTCTTGAACAAGAAACAGCGCAAGAAGCGTCTCGCCTGGGCCAAGGACAAAAAGGACTGGACTGATGCTGAGTGGTCCAAAGTTATGTTTTCTGATGAAAGCAAGTTCTGCATTTCCTTTGGAAATCAAGGACCCAGAGTCTGGAGGAAGAGCGGAGAAGCACAGAATCCACGTTGCATGAGGTCCAGTGTAAAGTTTCCACCGTCAGTGATGGTGTGGGGTGCCATGTCATCTGCCGGTGTTGGCCCACTCTGTTTCCTGAGGTCCAGGGTCAATGCAGCCGTCTACCAGGAAGTTTTAGAGCACTTCATGCTTCCTGCTGCTGACCAACTTTATGGGGATGCAGACTTCACCTTTCAACAGGACTTGGCACCTGCACACAGTGCCAAAACCACCAGCACCTGGTTCAAGGACCATGGTATCCCTGTCCTTGATTGGCCAGCAAACTCGCCTGACCTTAACCCCATAGAAAATCTATGGGGTATTGTGAAGCGGAGGATGCAATACGCTAGACCCAACAATGCAGAGGAGCTGAAGACGACTATCAGAGCAACCTGGGCTCTCATAACACCTGAGCAGTGCCACAGACTGATCGAGTCCATGCCACGCCGCATTACTGCAGTTATTGAGGCAAAAGGAGCCCCGACTAAGTATTGAGTGCTATACATGCACATTCTTTTCATGTTCATTCTTTTCAGTTGGCCAACATTAGAGAAACAAACATTTTTTCATTGGCCTTTAGAATATTCTAATTTTCTGAGATACCAGATTTGATGTTTTCATTGGTTGTCACCTATAAATATCAAATTTAAATGTAATGAACATTGGAAATACATTGGTCTGTGTGCATTGCATGAATATAATGTACAAGTTTCACGTTTTGAATGGAATTACTGAAATATGTTCAACCTTTTGATGATATTCTAATTTACTGGCCAGCACCTGTATTTATATTTTAGAGACTTTCTTGTCCGTGAAAAGTTCATCAGCTCTGAGTCAGCCGAGGTATTCCTTAAATGTGAAGCGTCTAAGCGGTAGTCTAACGCTATTGGTTAGTTCTGGTCGGCGCTCAGTTTCCTATTGCACGAAGCTCTGCGGGGCAGTGCTTAGCAAAAAATAAATAAAGACATATTGCTTATATTATATCACAGTACATGATAAGATAATCACTTTTACGGATTTCTGATGAATCATACATAATTTCTGAAAGACGAAAACTCCGGAAAGCTACTTTATGTACAGATGACGTTGCGCCAGATAACAGAATAAACTGTCAAACGGCATCTTAAGAAGACGGCCCAGTTCTGGACAAGATGAAAGCAAGATCTACTCGTACCAGAGAGTTAGGAACGGATCATGACCTATGGTGGCACACGGTGTAGGCAGAGTGATGGTATGGGCATGCACGTTTTCCAAAAGCACAGGGTCATTAGTTTTTACTGATGATGTAACAGAAGAGAAAAGCAGCTCGATGACTTCTGAGAGATTAACTTTCTCCTCAGATCCAACCAAAAGCAGCAGCTTAGTGGTCAATAGTACAATAGTCCTAAAAATACCGTAAAAATGTTCTGCAAAGGCCAAGTCTCACCGTCACACTCTGAAATCTGTTGGTTAGGGATTTCAGAAAAGAACAATACTCTGAAATATTGCCATATTAGGTGTTAGGATACTGAATTGATATTTAAATGCCGTGCACCATTTTTTAATGAGAATTTCCATGCAAACATATCCTTTGTGTGGTGCAATTCACACTCCGGCAGCTAGGAGGCAGCAGTTTTTACCGCCATCATTCTGACAGATCACGATGACTCTACATGTCTCTACAAAGTGTCTGATGTTAAATTCAGTCGTATAAAATATCATCTTGCTTTAGTATGGTTCAAATATATTCTCTCCTGTATTGTGAAACATTTCGTTTAGCCACACCCCCTAGGGTTGTTCAGATTCACTGACCCTTTATAGTACTGGTCTTTGGCCAGTATGCCGGTCTTAATGAGCTGGTGCAGCAGCTGGCCCATGTGCTCCCTGGCGATGGTGCTGCGCTCCAGCGTCGACTCCAGCCCATTTCGTACAAACACAAACAGCAGCCCGGTGCTTTTCAGCTCCTGTACACACTGCAGCGCCTCCTGTTGGGACATGGACAGAACTCATGAGACACCTCGAGTCCTCAAGCAGCTTCGCTTAAAACTTAAATCCTTCCTAAAAGCACGATGAGTTCTAGTGCTACTCTGAAGGAGTGCAGAGGTACCTTCATGTCATTGATGTGGAGGTACTCCTCAATGATAGCCGTGGACTTCCTTTCCACCTCCTCCTCTGTCAAAATGGGTTTGGAGGGGGTCTGGTGAGGTGGGGGAGTGGCAGCTGTCTCCCGTTTTTCCGCTTAAATGAAAAACAAAAGTAAAGAAAAGCTTATTTATTTGTAGTTATTGAGCATCAAACAGCATAAGAACGGCTGCACCCTTCTCCAGCCCACCTTCCTCTTTGCTCCTGGCTCGCTCTATGCTGCCTTTGTCGTCGGTCATACTCGCCACCCGACGAACGCGATCGGCCGACCCACTCGGATCTCTCTCTCGCTTGTGCTCCTCCTTCTCCCGGCTGAAGCTCCGCTTGGTGACCTGTAGCTGGTTTCGATCACGGTCGTCCCTTCGCTCCCCCCGTCGCTCAAAGCGTTCGCTGCCTCGTTCGGAGCGGTCGAAGCGCTCACCGCGCTCTCGGCTCGCGCTGTTTCTGTCAAGAGGTAAAAACGTACATAGCTGTGTGGAATGGTTCGGTGCCTGTGGTTTTCTGGGCCATGGAAACAGTAGCTCACCTTTGAGGAACTTTTCTGTCTGAGTCCAGAGAAGAGCCAGACACGGACGAAGGCTGTTGCAACGCGGAGAACCTGTTCAGGGTGCTGGTGGCAGAACGGCTCCCCGACTCTGAGCATGCGCAGACAGAGAACGTTAAACGTGCTCAACCAGAGACCTGATCTAGGTCTACAGGCAAATGTGACCTGAAAGCCTACCAGAATCTGCAGGTTTGGCGCTGCTGCCACCGCTGCTGCCCTTACCCCAGCTCCCCCATGTGCCTTTGCCACCCGGGGCAAGCAACTGGTTGTTGAAGTCAAGAACAGGAGTCTGGAAAAGACGGGCTGCTTTTAAAAACCGACGTGTGAAAATGAACCTGTGGCCTGTGATAATCTTAAAGCACACTACCTTAGTGATTTTACTAAGGCGAGAGGTGTCAATAGGTCGGTTTTTGGAGATAGGAACTGTGTTCCAGCCGTCATCCTGTGGGGGTCCTCCTCTACCTGGGGTGTGAGGACCACCTCGACCCCCGGGACCTCCTGCACCCATCCTGCCTCTTGGACCTGAACTACTTTCATTCTTGGAGATGAGAGCTTGCTGCACCTTCATCTGCTCCCTGTGTTCCTCCAGCTCTGCATCTTTATGGATCTGGTCGATGGTCTTCGGGCCCTGGTCTCCTCGACGGGGGACCCAGTTATTCTGGAGGCCGGTGGCAGAAAAGAAACTATCAGTGATTCCTGCGGGTTTAATGATGTTTGGTGAAAGTTTCATGATGTTTTACACTGATGTCATGTTTGACTTCCTGTCTGACCCAATCCCAACTGCTGAGCTTGACCCGTTCTGGAAGAGTGGCGCGTAAAGAATAAAGTCAAAGCATACATTTTGGTTGAAGCGACTCATCCCCATACTTCTGAAGCCTGTCCAAAACGCCACACTTGGTGGCCTGTGGAAACGCACCCATCCACTGTAACAGCGACTAATTGTTGTGATGCTTACTCGTCTGGTGGAAATGCTGACGTCATGACACCTACAGTAGATTAAAGCTGGTATGAGTCAGTCTCTGTACTTGTGTGCAGGTTCAGTTGCTGGTTGCAAATAATTGGAAGTAAGCAAAAGAACTTTGCAGTTGTGGTAAAACTCGTCGACTATACTGGTGCCAAAGCAGCAGCTATGGAAATGTGGAAGACAAAACATTAAAACGACGACGTTTTATGATACTGACAGTAGGGCTGCTCAATTAATCGAATTTTAATCACGATTACGATCTGAGTTTTGAACGATTATAAAAAACAAAACAAGCCGATTATTTGCTCCTCCCACTTGCGCTGCCCTGAGTTACAAATGAAGCGCTCCTCCACAGTGTTGCCAACTTGGCGACTTTGACGCTATTTCTAGCAGCTTCTCAGACCCCCTTCTTGACTTTTTAAATCTTAAAAGTACCTAGCGAACATCTCAGAAACATCTCTGGTAACCCTTAGCTACTTTCTGGATAACTCGTCGACATTTCCTGCAGGTTAGCTAAACACTCCGCCTGCGCTCCGGACCGTTCTTCAGGACATTAGGAAAGGGAATGATGTAGTGATGTGTCAGTCGCTAAAGAAACGGCTCTCAGAGTCGGCTCCCTGTTGGAGTAACCAGAGTGAGTGACACACACCGCACCTGCGGTCTCCTGAGCAGCTAAAAACAGCTAAATGTGCGCGTGCGGCGTGCTAAACATACGTGCAGCTTGCCCCGATTGCTGTGAGACCGGGTTGGGGGGTGGGGGGTGCAGCTGTGGTTGAGACAATTATTACATTAACTGATGGACCTGTAATTAAATAGTTTATAAATAAGGTAGAAATAAGTTCCTCACACTGATAACTAATAACTAATCTCTCTGAGGACACGGTGCTAGTGCACTCTACTACAGCACCTTGACATGACTCAATAAATGTTATGCAACATTTTGTGAACATTAATTTATTTGCATTTATTTGTTATAAATGCCACTGTATAATTCTTGCTGTCAGTATTTGCCAGATATTGGTATTTGGGTCTGTACTGGTTAGACTTACAGAAGTTAAACCAAGGTCTACAGCCCTTGGGTCATAAACGAAGAGCTATAAGTATATTGGTCTTTTTATACTGGGAATCAGGAGTTATTTTAGTGATCATCTTGTTTCTTATTTACTTTTGTCCTGATTGTGTCTTGAGCAATTTTATGACTGAATAAAAACAAATAAAATCAACATAAATAGAAAAATTGTCCTAAATAATCGTGATCTCAATTTCAGTCACAAAAATCGTGATTATTATTTTTGCCATAATCGAGCAGCCCTAACTGACAGTGACTGTACGCACATACGTGCACACAGGTTCAGTCGGGTGTGTTGAAGCAGAGACCTCCGAAACACGCTGGACAGTGGCCCTCGAGGACCAGGATCAAACACCCCCTCTATACAAGGTAGCTGGTACTGGTAATGCGTGCAGGATGGCAGGGATAAACACCTTACACATGAGTGATATCGTCACAAATAAAGTGCATGAAAATTCAGCAAAGTGTTAAAAGTTTAAATGCACAGCTGCGATACGGCAACTACTCTGCACCCAGTCTGTAATGATTGGTGTGACGGTGGGTATTATGCTGCAGGGGCCTCTGCCAGTAGATCCCTGGGATTTAAGCTTCAGTTCTTCATGCCACCAGCTTTTGTGTCATAACCTACCCGTCGCAGGTCCAGCACATCTTGCAGCATGAATCGGATTCTTGAGCTGGTCTTCCTCTCCTTTATTATTTTCTCCATCTGGTTGAAGTACTGGTCCATACGAGGCTGAAGGCAGGAAACAGAGATGAATGTGCAGCTTCTCCCCTTCCAATCAAAACCGTTTTTGACCCAGAACCAAAGCATTTCTGCTTCGGGACACTTAAGCTGAAGAATGTTCTGTACCTTGGCCTTCTCAAAGTCTAGGTCCTTGCCAATGGTGGACAACAGTCTGCACAGGCACTCCAGCGACTCCTCGTCGTGGTTTTTCAGCAGCTTTAAGATGCAGTCGTGCATGATGACCTCTGTGAGCATCTTGAGCTTGAACAGCTCACCAATAAACTTGATGTTGCCCATTGAGCGCCTCCTGGCCTTGTCTTTAGCTTCTGCTAGCTCTTCAACAAGTCGCTGCTTCTCCTCCTCCTGCCAGGCAAATGTCAACATTGTAAAGATAAGCCACGCCCCCTCTTAACAGATCATCGTTCTTACAACCCCGTCTTGATTTGATGGTATGATACTCTACCACAGAAGCAGCTTCCAGTTCTTTCTGCTTCTTCTCAAAGATCTCGTCGTCATCCTTATCTTTCTCAAACTCCTTCTGGCACCGATTTAGCAGCAGCTTGCGGAAATTCACAGTGACTCCCGGCTTGTCTGGGGTCAAAACTTTAAGCTGAAAAGACAAGAGAGAACCCACGTGAGAGCGGCTACTGGCTTTGTGCAGGACATCACTTAGGTCAGTGGCACAAGGACGTGGCTGAGGACGAGCGGACTTGTTGGTGACATACAAGTCACACGAGTCTTTGCTCATTAAAAACGGTGTTGAGTAGGGCTGCAACAAACGATTATTTGGATAATCGATTAATCGGATGGGGTCTCGACACGATTAATCGATTAATCAGATTACATAGGGACATTTTTAAAAACTGCTAGGGAAACGTTATTTTTCTCCTTCCTTCACTTTATTAAACACACCATTATTAGAAAACAGTTCAATAGCAGAAAAACAACATGCCATCACCTAAATTGTCTTATAAGGTGTATAGACAGAGACCCTAAGCTACACCTATCTGTGACCTAAAATGCTTGGTCCAAGTTAAACTGCTTAAAGAGCAAGTCAACCCCTACCAGAGTCTAACTCCACTCCCGCTTCATGTTTGAAAAATGCAACACATGCTGTTGCCTGGCAGACCGAGAGGGCGGAGCCGCTAACAAATACACACACACTCAAGCTCACGACAGCATTGTGACATCATAATGTACCAGTTTACATCATAGCATACTTCTTAGCCAATAGCGGTGGCAGATTTAAATTGAAAGACAGTGCAGAGTTTTTACCTGACAATGGCACAACACTGCCAGTTTGAGGCAGAATATTTAAATTTTAACTTAGATGCACTGAAGTGCCAAATTATTGATGACACGTGTCTGCAGCACGATTAGACACTCGTTTATTTAGTTTATCAGCAAAAAAGTTTATTTGGGGGTGACTTGCTCTTTAAGGGCAATTCTCATCTGTTTTGTTTGATCTCATCTGTAGACATTTATTATAACTGGGGATGTCAAACAACTAATTTTTAAATGTAATTAAACACAGGCTGTGAATTAATCAAAATTAATCACTATTTCCAAAAATGACTGAAACAATACCAAATAAAACAAAAATAAATGAATGCCATCCTCCTTGCGATGATGCGTGGGCAACTGCCATAAAGTCACATCAAGAAATGTTGCTGATCATTCCAATGATCCCAAATAGACTCACATTAGGCCACATGAAAGCAACTGAACCCAAAAGTATATTAACCAGTAAATAACTGCACTCTCACACAACATGCCTGCAGCAACAGTTAGGACTCCTCCCTCCCTTTTAAGAGCGTTTTCGCTTCTGAGGACATTGTGGTTGTAAAGCCACATGTTAGTAGTCTGGCCCCGGTGTGATCAACCAGTTTCTGCGGAAATGTGACGGCGGAACCGGTTCGCAGCGGCGCGAGTCTCCCCCCCCCCCTATCTAATAGCGTCGCGCTTACAATTTTATAGACTTTTTTTACGAGCTTAGGGCATGTCTAGCCTGTGTAATAATCCGGGGCTTGGGTGAATCACTTTTGAAAAGTTTTTAACTTACCCGGACACCGAGCTCTCTCCTTCCTCGCTGATGATTCTGACATGCTTGCGTTTAAGACGCTGCATCATCACCGTAGTATCCCCGTGCCATGCTAAGTCTGACCTACAAACGTTGCATGTCTTCGCCTGATTTAACTGAAAATGCTCCCAAACTTTAGAAGTTTTTACTTTTTTGGGGTCTCGCTGCTTCTGCCATGTTCCTCTTACAAACACCTGCCGCTCTCCACCGGTCTGCGCGCAACGGCGGGCGGGAGGGGAGGGGGCTTTTGGAAGAGTTGCGCAACACAACGAATCGATGACGCAATTCGTTGCCAACGCTTTTAGTAATCGATTTTCATCGAATTTATCGATTCGTTGTTGCAGCCCTAGTGTTGAGTCAAAGAACGTTTTACAGAATGTTACTGAGTACCTTAGACAAGCCCGTCAATAGCAAAGCCGCTATCGTTTTGTGCCACCTTGTTAAAGGATCAGGTTTCACGCTGCAGTACTAATGATCAGGTCAGTCTTTCATTGGGTCTTTGTGATGTCATAACAAGCTTTGATCATTAAATACGGTGAGAAATGCACAACTCTGCAGTTTTGCTATTGCGTCAGTAGCTCATAAAACCTGTGAATTTTATTTGAAGACAGTATTATTTCATCAATGCAGGAACACTATGTGAATAAATACTTTTATCTGACTCACAAAACACTATTAGGGATGTATGAAAACATCGATACACTGATATCTTGATACTGAATCGATATTTAAAAGCTGTGTATCAATTTTTATCGAGAATTTACGTGAAAATTGTTTTAGTGTCGATCTTTTATGTGGTGCATTTCAAACTCCGACTGCTAGGTGGCAGCAGTTTTTACAGCCTTCATTCTGACACAACAACGAGGTCTTGTGAGAATACTGAATAGTGTCTTAGAAACGCCTAACCTGACAAGTATCGTCCAGCGTTCAGTACCGCCTCAGCTGTACTGCATTACTTATCGTTAACACCAGATTCTTGCCAATACACACCCCTAGATTTTACATGTATAAACCACTAAAACTACAAAACCCAGAGTGCACTGGAACAGCTGGTGATGTCACAAGCCCAGAACAATGAGACAGTTGCCTCTTACACAGAACAGTTCAGCGATTTAACCACAAAGTTGTTTCAGGGTTGCTCTGAAGGGCAAGAAAGCCTCTCAGGTCCAGCCTGAAGTGTTTTGTGGAAGAAGCTTTTAACTTGGGGCTTTCACACGTTTTCAAGAACTACGCTAAACCGTAAGAGTGGGGTTAGGCTCCTGTGTTCCCGTACAGACTGTGGCATCACTCACCCCCGAAAGACACCGGCACATGTTTGCGTAGGCCACTGAAAAGTCCGGCTCGGAGATGGCCTTCTCGAATGTGAGGTCTATGACTCCCTTCAGTCTCTCCTCGGTGTCCACAGTCAGTTCCTGCACCTGCTTCATGAGCTGCTGAAACTTCTGAGGCGTGAGTTTGTTGAGGATACTCCGGACGCGTTTAAACAGCTCCTGGGTTTTGACTTGTTCTGGGTCATTCTCATCAAAGGTCTCCCCAACGCGGCTCTGAGTCGGCTTCTTCACAGACGGTTTCCAAGCCTTCTCCGCTTTGTTGAGTTGCACGTCGTCACTGAGTGACATGCTGGTGATGATCTTCCTCTGCTCTTTTCTCGGGACCTGCTGAGAGTGACGTGGACCACCCATCCCAGGAGGCTGAAAGATAAGACAACACACTGTGACCTCATTTCCCTCTGGGACAACTTCCCTCGCATGAACAGTGCTGAGCCACACAGAGGTTGACTGTAGGTTCTTGTGTGACCTTGGTTCTCAGCACAGCAGAAGTGTCTCACTACAGGAACACCGTAAGCATGACCTCATCAGAAGTTGCCCATCTCATTGTTTGAATGCTGTTAAGCATTCTCTATTCCTCACTTACTTTTTGTGCTTTATTTGCTTGTTGGTGCTTTTTGCTTCTACATCTTTCAAGACATTCAGCTCATTTTGACAGTTTTGCTTTGTTTCAGCTTCAGTTCAGCTGTTCAGCAGCTTCAGCTTACAGTTTCAGCTATCCAGCATTCAAACAGCATTAGTGTAATAAATGCAATTTTTCTAGTTCTGACTGAAAGGATCGGCTAGCAACAAGCCTGGCAGGGCCTGTCTGCAGTCCACATGCACATGGACTTGAGTCAATGAAAAAGCTGTTTATGCAGGGGGACAGGTGTCCTTCAGGGTGATCAACTCCCCCTGAGAACTTCTGCCCATCAGAGCAGGACCCGCCCCTCACTGGCTGGCTGTGTGATATAGGACCTTCTGACTAGGTCACGTCTTGGGCGTTCACATAAAGACATCAACGAAACAATAACGAAAGGCAACCCACCAGTCCTCTTCCTCCTCCCATGCCAGGTCTGCCGAGGTTGGCAAAAGAGGGCGTGAAGTCAGGACCACAGTTCATCCCAGAGAGGCGACTGGGGTCAAGCTGACGAAGAGGAGTCTTGTTGGCCTGAGCAGAACAAAACCACAATTAACTGGGACAATTTAATCAGTTTCTTATATCTCATCACCAGTAAAGTGAGGAGACGTAATGAATGCTGCACCGTAACAGAGTTCGTAATAAAAGTGACTTTCAAAGAACCAATGGATGTATTTTAGAAAGGATGACGCATCATTTTAAAACTGTTTAAGGCCATTGTGTCCAGTCCTGGTCCACAAAGGCCCCCATCCTGGCTGTTTTAATGGTTTTCTGCTCCAACGTACACTTGTCAATGGTTTAATTACCACAAGCGGGAAAAAGTTGATTTTTTTGCAAGTCTCAAGTAAGCCTTAAACCACTAACCTCAAGTCTTGAAGCAAGATTCAAGTCAAGTCCCAAGTCTGAAACTTCAGATTTCAAGTCACTTTGAGTCATTTTTTAAAACAGATTTGCACATGTATCTCGCCTTTCTTTCAGCATTTTCTCCTTCTAGTGGTGCGACTACGACCAATGTGATTCATGTCTCACAATCGACCAGGACATATGGGACACCCCTCATCAAACTTTAACGCTCCACGCTCTCAACAGATAAACAACAGCCAGTTCCTGTCCAGATGTCCTTCCAACTATACGCTTGATTGTTGCACTTCAAACATTCAGGCAATCCTGAACTAACTAGCTGCCCGTTATTCTGGAATGTGCTTGGAAAGCAGGATTTAAAATGGAATGGCAAAAACAGCATACGTGATAAAGCTAACCAGTATCGTAAACGTAGCCTGGAGAACATGTGCTCGCAAGGATTGTAGCAAAGACAGTACCACCTACTGTTCTTTACGCACCTTCAAATGTTGAACCAAGAGGACAGGTGTTCTTTTTCAAACTCTAATATTCTTGGAAGCTTTACAATTTACATTGTGTTATTGTCAAAGAATTTGCAGTTCAGTTACCTGAAGAGAGCGTAACGGTGGATAGCTGCAGCACTGTTTACAGACACAGAGGGTTAGGCTGGCTCTTTTTAAATCTGGCTAATTTGACTGGCTGCACTGAGGCTCACACACACACATACTAGCCTATTGAGTGATGTATCAGTTTGTTAATACAGAAAGAGTGAAATGACTCAAAAAAGAAATAACAGATGATTTAGAGTAGATATCAGGTTAAATATCCACTATTTTCAAGTTTAAGTTGAGTCCCGAGTCATTGGTGTAAAAGTCCAAGTCTTTGAACATTTTTCCAGTCAGGTCTAAAGTCATATTTGTTGAACTGAGTCAAAGTCATGTGACTCGAGTCGACACCTCTTTAGCACTTCAAATTTGGCAAAACTCCATCAAACACTTGTTAATTTATAAAAGGTGTGTTGAGCAGAAAAATCAGAAGCCACGACTGGACCGTCTTAGCCTGGCCTGCCAGACTCCTCCTCTGTTTACTTCTGCACAAAGGGTCTGGGAACTCTCCTATTCAAATAACCCCACCCCGTGAGAATTCTAGCCGAGCCAATCAGCGCTGAGCAGCGTACATCACACACCACAACGCCGAGTTTGTCATAATCGTGGTGACTGAAGTGGAGTTCGCTGCGGCTCTTTCCTCTGTTCTAAATGACTTGAACACGTCTTTAAAACCACAACAAGTAAAGCGTTAAAAGCCTTTCTTCTAAAGAAAGATGTTTGTTGTCGCCAGATGCCATTTTTGACTACAGCTAAAAAAAACTTTAGCGTTGCGGATGTCTCACACACACGGCGGCGCTCAGTTTCCCGTGAACAACGAAGACAGCGGCGGAGGTCGCCGCGGCTCTTTTCTCTGTTCTAAATGACTCGGATGTCTTTAAAACGTTAAAAGCCTTTCTTCTAAAAAAATGAAAGATGTTTGCGCCGTTGCCAGACGCAATATTTTTTACTACAATTAGAAATCTACCGCATCACGCGGTACAGTCGGGATTTCCTTCTTTTTCTGATTGGTCATTTTTGAGCTTCCTAGTCCTGCCCCTCAGCTGCTCATCTGCCCGTGAGTTACCAGACTCATTCTCTGTGCAGAATTCAACAGAGGACGAGTCTGGCAGGCCAGGCCAGGACCGTCTCAGGCTACGTTCACACTGCAGGCAGAAGCGCATCAAATCTGCTTTTTTCCCCACCTGAGACCCATATCTGATATTTTATGACAGTCTGAACGCGCAGATCCGATTTTTTTAAATGCGATCTGTGCCACTTGAATGCGTGATACTGATTCCGACACATATCTGATGTTTTTGAAAGCGACCGCAGTCTGAACGGTCTCCTCCTACGTCACAGAGTCAGCGGAGGTGAGCGTCGTGTGTGGATGTTCCTGAGGAGAAGCGCTGGCAGAAGGGTTCAGGAGTCTGTCTGGACATCCTGTTTTAGGTTTAGGAATTAAAAATACAAGAGAATGTAAATGGGAGCGGGAGGTGCGGCTGGAGCGAAGCGCCTCACCGGTCTCCCATCTCCACGACGGGGATTCTCCGTAAATGAATTAAGACGGGAACATTTTTGGATAATAATTCAGGGAGACGGCGGGAACAAGGAGTAAATTAGTTTACAGTTTTTAAAACAATTCCAGCCCAAAGCGGAATTAACAGGTGTGAAAGTTTTCACTGATAGTTTATCCACAGGATCAGGATGACATCACAACTCCGCCGCTCCTGGTTTCCGCTAGCCTAGTGAACTAGACCAAATTCTTGCTTTGCAAAGTTTGGTCTAGGCATGCTCCATTGGAACCTCCACAGCTCCTACCAGGACTCTGGCTAGCCAATCACAGCTCTCTAGAGGGGTTTCAAACACATAAAGAGCTGTGATTGGTCCATAATGGTGGGCCAATCATAGTGCTCTATCTGCTTAGTGAACAAATCACAGAACTTTATCCACTTTGTGGGCCAATCAGGGCACTCTATATGCCTGGTGGGTGGGATGATGCAACAGAGTGAAACAAGAGTATGTCACATTCATTGTCCAGTAGCATGCGGAGATCATTTGAAAGACAACGGTAGAACCCGCCCCACAACCGAGAGCCGTCAATGGAGCATGGCCAGACTAAATAATACATTTATTTATTATTTAGTCTGGCTTGCCAGGCTAGGTTTCCGCTCCACTGAGTGTGACTTCTTGTCTTCTGCGCATGCGGGTCGCTTTGGTGCCGCGGAGCGTTCACGCTGGAGAGAGTTTGATGTTGCATTTCAGTCACGTGTGAACGGCCACACAAAAAAAATCTGATTTACTCCAAAAAGTCACAATTGAGAATCAAGGCCTGCAGTGTGAACCTAGCCTACGACTCGTTTTGTAAATGTGTGTTTGAGAGTTCGTCAGTGCTGTCGTGAACGTGCATGTGCAGCGCGTCGTGCATTTTAAAGCGCTTTTACAAATAAAGCTGGTATGGTACCTAAGACCAAGCCACTGCCTAACATGCGACCTCATCTGCGGGTCAGTGTTCGTACCCGGTCTAGGACAACGTCACTAATGGCTGGTAAACCCTCTGGTTTGTTCATGCTGGCCGAAATGAACTGGAAGCCCAGAAGAAACTCTCGGTCATATTTCTTCTTCTCTTCCATGTTGATTGGCTTCCACTGATCTGAAACAGAGCAAGAAGCAGAGTGAATCTTGGTCTGACCCACACATGGCTCAGGACAGGGAAAGGAGGACAAACTGAAGTCCAACTGTGCCTTCAGGTTTGCGGACCCACCCTCTTTGTACTGGTACTTCATGTCGGTGGCGCTCGGCTGCTGAGGATCTGGCTGAATGTTCTCAGCATCCAGCTTGTCCTCCTTGTCCTCCCAGGTCAAGTCTGCCTCCTCTGGGACAGGAGGGGAAGCAGCAGGGGGCTTTGGCTCTGGTGCTGGGGCCGGCTCAGGCTCGGCTCGCACAACTACCTGCTCCTGGATCAGAAAATTCTGTTAGAATCTTACAACCACTGAAGGCAGAACAAATCACGCCCAAAAGAATAAAATCATGTTTCCAGCGTACCACACAGAAATGGTGCTGGTCTCTACATGCTTTCATTTTCACATTCTTTATTACTATATGTCAAGTTAATAAGAAATCCTTGCCAGAAATGAGCCCTGGATGCAGCAGAAATTCTGGTTTGCTTCTCATATATAAATAAAAATTACCAAGAAATATCAGAGATGCAGACCTGCCAACCTGTCAAAATATTTTGAGTACCACTTGTGCGCCGTTTTTCGCGGACTTTTGCAACTCCATTGCTTTTCAAGCTGTAATCTCCCCATTCAATGGATGGAAAGTTTTACACACACACACAAAGTTTTCCTTACCAGAACAGCACCGAGTGGCGAACCGGAGGGGGAGAGGCGCAGCGGGCAGGACAGAGCGCGCGCGGGGGGGGGGGGTACGCTATTGGTTAGGCAGGATAGTTTTTCTCTGCTTTTCTACGATGATTGATAAACTTCTTCACCACGCCGCTGAGTCGTGTTGTCAGACATGAGTACCACACGTGCATATTTGCCACAGAACACAACTTACGTACCCGCAGCTTTTTGCGTAGTTTAGAGCGGTGAGTCGTACCAGCGTAAATACGTGCCAAATTGCGTACTGGCTACGCAAAATGTGTACAGGCTGGCAGGTCTGGAGATGGGAGCTTTTTTAGGATCACACTTTGGAGGTTAGCATGTCAGTACCAGAGGGTGTCAGATCAGAATTATCTTAGCTTTAGACAGAAACAAAAAAAAACCCACTTTGAAATGCTTCAAATGTAAGTTCCAGTAACAACACGGAAACGCTGATCTCAGAATACTAACAGGCTGCAGGGGGTGCTGACAAACACTTCTCAGTCCTGCTGACCAAACACAGCTGTGAATTTATTCAAGTCTAACACGCTGGTTCACATCAGGGCTCTAACGGTACATTCACACCCGAGTCGGCCCAGTCTAGCCCCAGTAAGTTGTTTGTGTTCACTTCTGGGTAATCTGTGTGTTTTTCGTGCTCAGCTGACAGTTTCTTTGGGACCTGCTCCCCGATGGTCAGCTCGGTGCGAAGATGACCCAACACATCCACTACCGACTGGTTGGCTGGCTGAAGTTCATACATACTTACTAGAGGGAGTCTCTTACTGGCGGGTAGTCCGCCAGCAGCAGCTTCCCACATGCGAGATCCATTATCAGCGTGGATGCAGTGTAGTATACATCTTCTCTAACTGCATTTGGGACCTGGCGTGGCAGCGCGAGGACAGGCTGCGTTGCAGCACCACTGCTCAGCAGGAGAGTAGGAAGTAGGGGTCGACAGATTTATCGGTTGGCCGATTAATCGGGCCGATATTTAGCATTTTGTCATCATCTGCATCATCTGACAAGCCGCTTTAATACAGCCGATTTAAAGTCAGGCACCTCCGCGGGCAGCCCGCTGCTGCTAAAGCCAGTGAAGGACCCCAATCCAGAATACCTCTGAGTGAAAGGTGTTTCAAAACCCTACAGCTGTATATTTAGTGTGAGTTGAAAGTAAAATATGAAATAAAACTTAACTGAGTAAAACAGAAAAACGAGCCCTAAGAACCGCCGCTAACTGACAGCATGCTGCTAATGCTAGGTTAGCTTGTAGTCAACTTTAAAGACCGTCTTAAACTCTCAGCTGCTTTGTTGTTTAACATGTTAGCTCCAGTTTTACAGGTGACATTATTTTCCTGTATGGGAGTCGGAGAATGTCACTCTGTGCAATAGAGAGGAGAGCCCTGCAGCGCCTGCACCCCCCTCCCGGTCGTGTTTTGTATTCAGAACTTTTTGTCATGTGGGTCGGAGCTGAGGAACGTCACACGCTTCTCCGGTTCCCACTTGAATGACACAGTGACAGAAAATGATCTCTATATAAATGCAGCTCTTGGTTTTTCTGTTTACCGCGTAATCTGTCATCAGAAACGTGTTCTGACTAAAGCAGGGATTGAAGCAAAAAATTCTCATCTGACTGAAAATTAAAGGGGGGGGGGGGGGGGGGGGCTGCTAACATTGTTTACACGCAGCTACTGTTTGGGTTTTGATTGGTTTGAAGGTCAGGATTCTTGTTTCTGAAAAATTTGGAATAACCCGTTCACATACACAGTGTTTAACAGTGTGGGTGTCGAGATGTCTTTGAGGTTAAAAAGATGATAAGTATTAAAGTACTCTAGGGGGGTCAGGGGCATGGCCCCCCTATAAAAAAATTATTGGACATTTTATATTTAAACGCATCAGTCTGGTGCATTTTTTGGGGGGGAAGTAGAGTTACAGGCTATGTATGATAAAGTATCTAAACATGTTCATTATAATGAGATATTTGAGCTAGCAACGTTTTCCTGTCCTTTCTTCATCCATTATGAACACAGACTAGAGTGAAATCCGCTGATGCATCCATGCGGCTCAGTACCAGAACTGCACTAGGTACCAAAAGAACCAATCAGCTGGCAGAGCTCCATGTTGAACGTGTGAGCTGCAGAACTTGCAACACTACGTGTCTCAATTTAAGAAACAAAGTAGAATCCAGCTGCCGTTGTTTATTTGTTGTTGTTGTTTATAGAAACTAAATATATCTGCAGGGCTTTAGGCCCAGGGCAGAGTTTTAGACCTCAGACCAGCTTTGGATCATGACCTGTTATTAATAATATCATATTCTTTACACCAACCTGTAATGATTGTTCACAGACATCCAAACCTTAGAAATGAAAGATAATCAATATTAAAATAAAAAATATTAATATAATTTTTTTATTAAAATTAGTTATCTGTTATACTTATTTACATATGAGAGTAATATGATTAATAATATTTAATCTTATCTTAAATCATTTGAGGGTTCAGTGCATTCACTTAATATTAATTATAAAGTTATAAATAACAGGTCTGGGCATAGAAAGTGCTTGTTCAGCAGCTCACCTGTTCCACTGACGGGAGAAATCCTCTCATCAGCAGGTGATCAGCAGAGTGCCGTGACTGAACACCGGCCCGACAAAAACAAAGACGACTAAAATCACCGACCTCAGATCAGCCCACCGGGAATTTGGGTCCTGGTTCCGCTCATCACGTTTACTCTCGTTGTGGTATCAGAGCTTTATTGGCTCTGTTAGAATCCCAGCGCCTGGTGCGCGCGTAGTTTGTTTGTGCGCACCGCGGGAGCAAGCAATGAGCGCACGTGTTTCTGCAGCTTGGGTGGTGCAGAAGTGCGCGTTTCAATTAGCAACAGGAGAGAGCGAGAGACTGCTAAACCCAAGAGAACGTGAGAAGAGATTTTGACAAAACTTTTCTCCGATTATTCCAACTGACGGATTTCCGTCGCCACGACGGAGAACTTTAATCCCTGGACTAAAGACTATTTTTATCTGTACGCTTCGTTTCCACGTAGACTCTAACACCAACAGTCAGTGACACTAGTAAATAGTTAGGGTGCACTTTTATTAATAGATGTTGTTTAAACGTTTCTCATACAGACTGTAATGTGCCGAGCCTCCTCTGCTCTTTCTGCTACTGACTCAACTGAAGATGGACGCTCTACACAAACACTGACAACCGTTTCTGTCTGATGGCTCAACTAAAGCCACATCCAGCGTGGCAGCAAGTCATGGAGCCAAACCAAGGAAAGGAGGGTGTGATATTAGCAGGAGGCCGGTGAGCTGGGAGCTGGAAAAGGCAAAAAGACAAGCTGAAGGCTCCTCATCTCCAGCAACACAGAAGCTGCTGCTGAGCACTAAAGGGTTAGTTAACACTGAAGGGTATTTTACATGAAGATGACTGAATGAACTTTAGATGCTGCTGGTGTTTTTCAGCAGGTTGGTACTATTACATCACTGTTATGCATTTTTCAGTAGAGCTTGTCTTTCTATTCAAAAGGTGCATTTATTTATACTTGCATGTAAATGTGTACATCCCTATAAACCATCTGCTTATTAAACGCTTTGAAACATCAACTGATATTTCATCAATGAACTGACCTGCATTGAAATGTTTGTTATGTGAAGTGCCTTGAGACGACTTGTCGTGACTTGGCGCTTTATAAATAAACTTGAATTGAATAGAATTTTTATTTTCTTTGCCTGTTATGTATATTTAATCCTTGGTCAGTTTATTGGCATTTTTTATTAATCTTGTTATAATGTTTGATTTTACCACTAAGCGCTGACTAAATTAAAATTCAACAGCTGGTTAAATTCTAGGGCTGTCGCGTTGAGGAATTCCCCCTGCGGTGATTCAGGGTGGCTTAATATTGCGGTGTGCGATATTATTGCAGCCCTTTTTTTATTGCAGTACTATCTAAACATAATGTTTACACATTTAAAAAAGGTTAAAAATTGCCGTGCCTTCTTCAATAACACTTTACTGAATGCAGATCAAAGGGCAGTAACAACACAGATCGCAGTAACGTTTGTTTCTCCGACAGTCGGAGTCCGACTGAACTTAAAAACAACAACATTCAGGAGAAGGTTAAACTTTTAAATGCAAATTTGGCTGCAGCATCTAACAAATAAGAAACAAGTCCACATTTTGTTTAGTTGTTTAAAATCAAGCATAAAAAATTACATGTACCGGGCGCGTGCGCGCCGGGGGGCGGGCGCACTATCATTTCACTTTCACACACGAATGACGGTGATTTATAGCTCGGTCACGTCCTTGTTACCCACAAAGAAAACCAGCATGTTAACTATATACGGTTTGAGAGAGGATCTGAGAGGGGTGGCAACATTTCCAGCAACACTGAAAACCCTCTCGGATGGTGCGCTCGTTGCACTAACACACACGTACTTGCGTGCGACTGGCGAGCAAAGGGAATCTCTCCCGGTTGTTGCTCCACCATGTCAGGGGGGTTTCTTTAGGGTCGATGCATTCCTCCTGCAGGTAGCGAGTGAGCTCCAGCTCGGCTTAAACTCTCTTCGGGACGGCTGCAGAAGCAGTGCTTGTCCGGGACTTCAGCAGGTCTCCGAGCGTTTATTTATTTATTTATTTATTTTGCCGCTGGTGGCAGCTCTGTCTCGGCCAAGGACTCTGGCTGCGCAGCAGCTGACGTACTGAAAACCAAAGTGCTCCCAAAGGAGCGAAGTAACGTTTCGTTTTGATACCAGTGCAGCCATCCTTCTCCACATGCATCATTGAGTTGAACCAAGTTCAGTAATCGCGGTGGCCCATGATGCAGCGCGGTGGGCTTCTTCATATTGCGATATTTCATTTTTGCGGTTACCGCGACAGCCCTATTAAATTCAGTGTTAAAAACCGGATTAGTTTCAGAAATCTTGTGCATCCATGGTTATTAGTGATAATTAAGCAATCTGATAAGGTGCCAAACATCGAGATATCAGCCATGAAATCAGCCCAAAAAAATCGGCAGCCCTCATCGGCCATCGGCTGACCACAACCGCCTCATATCAGTATCGGCAATGGAAAAACCAATATCGGTCAACCTCTAGTAGGAAGCTGCGTGCTTCATGTCAAAGTCTCCAAAAGCAGCACCGCTCATGGCTGCCCTTTTTACCAACTTGAGGAGGACACCACAGACTTCTCCACACATCTATTTCCCCGCTCACATGCTTGGAGACACCTTGGTTTCTGTGAAGGCTGCATGAACCACAGACACGGTGTGAGAACAACCTGGCTGCGCAGGGGGCGCGAGTCCGACCCAGATGCAAAAGGCTGTACCAGCTGTGTTGCAAAAAATAAATAAATAAAATCTTAGATCTTTTACACAAACTGTAGAAAAGTTGGTAAAGGTTTGTCTCCGTTAGGGCTGGGCAATACATAGAAAATTTATCGTTATCGAAATTTCTGACTAATGAAAATTTTTCCATGTCAATAAATCTGATAATAACCTCGCCCCTCCATATCTCAGCTAACTGTTCAAATTAACGTCCCCATCCGTAGAATTAGATCTTCCTCCTCCATCCATCTCTCAGTACCCCGTTTCCGTTTGTCTACCATGGGGTCCAGAGCGTTCAGTCGCTCCGCCCCTCACCTCTGGAACTCTCTTCCACCTGAGATTCCCAACATTGACTCCATTTCAATCTTCAAATCACATCTCAAAACTTACGTGTTCAAAAATGCTTTTTGTTTGTGAATCTCCATCCATCCACCCATCTCATGTATTTGTTTTCTGTTATCCGTTTTATCGCTTTTTAATCTTTGAATTGAGGTGATCTTACTTTGTTTTATCATGATGTGTTCTTTCTCGTCTTACTCTAAGGTGACCCTTGTGTGCCTTGAAAGCCACCTGTGAATAAAATTTATTATTATTATTATTATTATTATAAAAAATGAAAAGATGTGTGTAGCTTGGCAACATTCGTGTATGTCCCTTTAAGAAGCTGAACCACCTCGATGTAATACGTGTGACTGCCCCATCTAGTGGACAAATACTGATACCTGTGGTTGTCGTCCATTTATTGGTATCGAGGTGAGATCCTCAACATATGGTGATATTGATTTTAGGCCATATCGCCCAGCCCTAGTCTCAATAGTGAAATGATTGAGCAGACAGAGTAAAGCATAAAGCCAACTTCATCAGAATCAGTATAAAACAAGCATAGCAATCCCAGAAAAGGCGCTAGTAAAAACAAACCTCCTTAAAGGCATCCAAGAGGTCTCCAACTGCCTCCTTTTTGTTCAGATCCTTCATCTTCCTCTTCTTCTTTGGCACAGACACAGCAGCTAGAGAAACGACAGGTGTAACTCACGTGGATGATGCAAACTCACATTTCTGTGGTAGCTAGCAGAAGCACACGTGTTGGTGTCGCGTTTGCCTCTTTGTTCTTTAAAAGGCAAATACGAGTCTTTATCTGTGTGTTCTGAATCTAAATCAAACACACACCGAGGTATAACTTTTACACTGTAGTAAATCTGTTCATCACGGACTAACTTCATGTGATTTACATACGACTTAGCTTGCATTAACTAAGAAGCTCACTTCAGCTTAAAAGCTTGAATTAAGAAGGCTCCTCAGATGGAAGGAAAAGTCGGGTGAACTCCACAGAAATAATGAACCTCACAAGTACGAGGAAGAAACTGACCTTGCATAGAAGTTTCTACAGGGGCTGGGGTGACAGTCTGAGTAGGGGGGGAGTCTTCCTTCTCCTCTGCTGGGGGGAGGGGGGAAGCAGGGATAGTGTCGGGTGTAATATCATCTACAGAAAGGGGTTCTGCAGGAACTGGCGTCTCTTCCGTGGCAATAGACTGGGGCACTAGGATTTCTTCCTTAACATCCAGAGCAGCCTCAGGAACCAGCTCTTGTGCCCCAGGCTGAATGGGCTTTGATTGGGTGGCTTCTTCAGGAGAAGCGTCCTCCACAGCAGAAGCTGAGAGTTCAGCAGCAACAGCTGAAGCTGTGACTGTTTCTTTGACTGCCTCAGGTACAGAGGAAGTCGGGACAGGCTGCTGGCTGACATCCGGTTCAGCTATGGGACTGTCGTCATGCTCCAACATGCTGACGGCAGGAGCCTCGGGGTCCCCGGGAGCTGGGAGGGGGAGACCATTGGGTAGACTCAACTCCTCTGGCTGTGCGATGGGAGACTCCAGAGGCTCCTCCGGGTGACTGGCCGTTGATGTGATGGAGGGCCTTTCTAGAACTGCCTCGGCCACACCGTTAGAGCTGGAGGGCTGAGAAGTGGATATTTCCAAAGACACGTCTACATTTTCCACTGCAGGCCCTTCCTCTGTCATCACCTCCTCTTTTGCCTCCTTTCCGCTCTTGTTTGGCTTGTTTTGTGCAGAATGAGCAGGGACTGGGTCTGGGAGGGGTGCAGGGTAAGCCGGTACCTCGGGAGCTAATTGGGGAGTCAGTCTGGCTCCTCTCGGAGGAAGGGGAGCATCCATCACGTCTGCGAGCAGAGCACGGGATTCAGGGATAGAAACTTTGGTGGGAGGGGTGTTCTTTGACTCTGACAGGGGTGGGGGGGTGAACGCCTTAGTGTTTGTGTCAGTGGTGGTCTCTGAGGGGACAGGAGCAGCCCTAGCGGGCTCAGGGGTCTGTGACAGAGGAGGAGTGCGTGTCCCTTGGTCATCTGCAGAAACAAAAAGAATAAATAAAAAGCACGTCAGTGAAACTGCTGACGATGTTTCGCCCAGGCCAGGTCCTGACGTAACAGATTTTGCTACTTCCACCCTCTCGCTCATCCACCCCGTCATTGTGCTACTAGCAGATGTTAGCATGTAACACATAAAACCTCTAGTTTAATGTAAACAAACACAATCAAAGACAACAAATGCTTCACCGCACATTTCCTTTCACTGGCTAAAAAACATCTTTGAATTCTAGAAGAAACAAAATAACCGCATCATCCATAAATCAAGTAAGTACAGTAGAAATGCTCGCTGGCAGTTTTCCACAAAATCTGTTAGGATTCGTGAGACTTTCTAAAACCAAGCTACAAAATCACAGCACTTTGAGTTAGACATGTTCACTCCTGCCAAGAATCTTTGTTTCGTAATCATTATAATTTACCAATGTTCATAAGCTGGTGATTTCTGCAGAAAAATCCAGAGAAGTTGATATTATGCAAGTAAAACTGTTCAGCGTCTCCCTGAAAAAATGTTAGTTTTTTTTTTTTAGGTTTTGTGTGTGTGTGTGTGTGTGTGTGTGTGTGCGCGTGCATGGCAAATGGGTTGTGGGATATAACTGTCACAATTGTTTTTATATTTGTGGGGAAGAGATGGGAATATGGGGTCGTTTGAATCTGTTAAGCACTTTGAGCTGCATTGTCTTTTGTATGAAAAGTGCTTCACAAATAAAGTTTGACTGATTGATTGAAAATTTGCAGCCAGCCAATGAAAGACTAACGTCTTTCCAACATTTTGACTTTCCTGTCAGGAGAGGATCGGCGCATGTTGAGGTTTCATGTAGATGTTATGTTACTTTAAACAGAAAGGAAAACCTATTAAACCAAACAGGAAAATTAATCACCTCTTTAAAAAAAAACACACCAGGCAAAAGAACTTCCTGTTGTCGGACAAACAGCAACAACTTAACGTAGCCCTGAGCCACGAGGAGAAGCTGCAGACCATGACTCGAGAGAAAAAGATCCAGGAAAAAGAAGTGCTCCTGATTCTTCCTTCAGTAGTTGTAATGTCTCAAGTTTAGAGCCAATTGTGACTTAAGCAAGTTTTTAAACTAAATTTGCTTTAAAGTGACTGTACCTGGCAATAGGAGGCAATAGGAGGCGATAGGAGGCAGCACATACCTAAATCATTGCAAGTATTTTTGTGTTTGTGTAAGGCCTTACCAATGGATGGCCCTTAGGGTAAAAAATTACTGGGAGCGCAATTTTTGAATGAGTACTTCATCAGATCGTTCAACCCCAATCAAAATGGCAGGCCCATCAGACTCCCTTTCATCACTGACCATGAGCGAAGAGGTGAACGTGTAAAACAACAGCATTCATGAATGGTGCGTTCCAGTTGTCCTCTGAACTCCTTTTGTTCCAAGATAAGTTAGCCGTAAATGACGCAATGAAATCGGAATTCCGAGCTGAGAGCTTGTAGGTTTCAGAGGATGCCGAGATCCAAAATTTTAAGATGGCTGCGCCCAGTGCTACCAGGAAGTAGTTGTCGTCTTTATTTCTCATTTATATGGTCTGTTTTCTTTCTTTTTGCTATTTAACAGCACCGAGTAGTTGTTCATTGTTGTTAATGTTGAAAAATTCAACACTGCCGCCATAATTGACCAGTGTTTGTGGTTTATTACTCTTCCTGGCGTTTATATTTTTACATTTGATTTGTAATGTTTTTACTGTTGTCCATGGAGACAGGGCGTCGAAGGGCGTGTGTCACTATCATTTAGGTGCAGAGAATACTTGGTTATATAATTATTTTGGTTTAGTACTCAACACTGATGGCATCCATCTTTTCTGAGTAAGAAAACGACCCCGTTAAGTAATTTCCTGTTCGGAAATTCCGAGGACAACTGGAACGCAGCATACCTAACGGTCTACATGTGTTTTGTCCTTACAGGCTACCATAGAAGGAAGCATGGCATCTAATATGACGTCGCCCAGAGACTCAGACCTGATTTTTATAGTTACAGTATATGTTACGAAGCCGCTAATATTTTTCAAAAACTGGGCATAATTATATTCATTTTCAACATTTAGATGGATGTTTCCAGAGATTAATGGTAAAAACTACACATTGTCTCTTTAAAATATTGTTAGGCTACTTGGTGTAATTTTGTATCGTGTTTAATTCCTGCTGAATTGCCTCAATTATTCCAAATGAACCTTCATAAAGGGAGGTTGTTGGGAATGCTGGGAGACCTCCCCACCACCCTGACAGCTCCAGGTAACGCCAGGATAAATTTCCACCCTGGAAAAATGGATTCTGTGGTAGAAACACACTACAGCCAGAGAGGACCCTAGTTCCAAAAGCGGAACCACACCTGTCCAGTCACCTACCTCCCAATAGGTGGGATGCTCCTTGGCTTCAGCTCTGCATGAGCAAAATTAATCCCTAATTAATATGACAGGTTTTTGATTAAACTGAAATCAGCTCAACTGCTAACCACTGCACCAGTGTTCCCATCCCTGCTGGGACCATGAGATTACTGACCTGATCTAACCAGTACTGGAGTAGCAGCAGCTGTGGTGCTCTCACCGTTAGCCTGAGGAACCACGGTGCTATCGGATCCAGACAGGGCCGTCTGTTTGGAGACATTCACAACAAAATAAGGCATAAATAAAGCATGTGAAGACAACACACTTTGTTCTACTTCTACATGTCAATTCATTTTTGCAACTAACACCAGAGTTAGTGAAAGCCAAGAATAAAGTACAATCCATCCAGAGGAGGTCACTTCCGCTCACCTGTGGCGGTGTTGGGGTGGAGCCACTGCGGCCCCCTGACATAATCTCCTCGGTGATGTCTCGACCGCCTTGGTTGGGATCTCTAATTCTGATCTGCAAAGTTAAAAAAGAAAAATCAGGTCTTGCTGTTGAAGCCTGGAGAGATGACAGACAGGAGAGTAAAAGAAGAGAACCCCCACCCTTTTGGATTAAAACGTGAGTAAACCAGAGTAAGGAGGGATTTTGGGAGGAGGGAAACGTGTGTCAGCAGCTTTCAATCGTTAGTGTGTTCTTCTCTTGGCTATGACTATCCTTTCCTCATTCAACAAAATCTGCATTTCTCCCAATCAAAGCCTCAACACCATCTGCTATAAAATTCCTCTGCGGCCCAACTGAATGTGTTTTGTGAGTCACCAGAAAAGCCGTCCGACAGCCTGAACCAAAAAACCAACCTGAAGTCAAACAGTCAAATTCCTCTGCCGGTTTAAGCCAGTGTGAAAATGTCTGACTCTTTTGAACGCAGAGCACAATCAGGACTGACAACAGCAGGCCTCCATGTGTACACACTACAAACATTTTCTATTCAGCACCGATCCCTCTCAGTCACATGACCTGCTACTTACTTCATGAAATCAACAGCTGTTAAAAAACAAAAAGAGGATTAAACTGTAAAGTAACAACACGTTAGCTCTGTGGCCTACTTCTGATTTTACGTTTGCTCAACACTACTGACCTTTACCTGAGTCGGCTCGTTTGCAACTCCTCTCCACGAGCATTACAATCCAGGGTGGGCCTCTCATCCCAGGGCTCCAGTAGCCTCTCCAGCAGTCTCCGTGCTGGACTTTGCCCCCTCAAAGCAGGATGGCGGGTGGAATCAAGGCAGTTTCACCTCGGTTTCACAAAGATATCACACATCCTGGACTGGGCTAACTGCTAGCTGACGACCGGATCAACCCCCTCTCTCTCATGAGCTGAACCAAACAGGGAGGGAAAAACACCAGAAAGAGACTGGCCTTGTAAAGCTATGGCATTGGAATGCGCACCCCCCGCCCACAGAGACTAACGGAGAGTTAAAAGGGGCCAGAGGGAGGAGGAGGGGCACAGTGGGAGGAATGGGAGGATTTTCGTGGGGGGGAGAATTTGTATTATCAAATGAGCAACAGTTAACAGAATAAACTCCCCCCTTCCCTAACCCTCTTCAGCCTCTCTGCATTGTTGAAATAAAGTCTCAGTTTTCCTAGCTCACGCCTCCTGAAAGCAAAGGAAACCAGCACAGGAAGAGGAGGGGGATGCCACAGCAGCAGAGCAAAGCTCACTGGTTAGCCCTTCTAGTTGAGAGGGGGAGGAGACCAGTGGCCACGTGGATCTGAGCTATGTGCTGACATGTCCTTAAGCACCCCCTTCCTTCTCAATTCTCCCTGCTGCACAGTTACAATGAAAGCAAATCATGGGAAAGAAAAGTACCATTACTTAATGCAGCTTCTTTTACACCTGGTAAAAATAAATAAAACCAATCTAGTTGCATCTTAGAACTTAAATGTGTGAATGTAACAAAGACGAGGCAAGAAAATAACCAAATGGTCACTTTAGGAACCGCGGCAACTGTAGATGTAGGGGCCCACAAGAGGCTGGGCTTTTCCAAGACCACCTTTAGCAGCTCCACACTTGAAACCTTATGTGTGCACATGGTTTTACACATCAGATTTCAGGCGGGATCTTAGTACAAACAATTGAGTCAAACATTCATACACTAGTAAATGAATATCGTGGGACTTGAAACTGCCTCTGTTCTGAGGGAGGATAGAGATGTGTTGCTGGCAAAAGGAGCGGTGTGTGTGTGCTTCCTGCTTTGGAAATGAACAAAAGGTTGGTACAACTGCTATTTTCTCGTTCTAAAGAGAGGCGGTGGGTTATGACCCATTCTGGCCCTCAAAGTGTTGAACAAACACCTTCACGTGTACAAATGTAAGACGTTACTAGTGAGACAGCTTTCGAGCGTCATCTCCCAAGGTAATTGGTTTGCAACTATCAACCTCACAGGTGCTTACTTTCACTGAGCAATACAATCAAACACAGACAGTTCCTTTGGCTTGCATTTGAGGACGTAGCCAGTGAGTATCTAGTCTTGTTCTTCAGCATGCTGCTTGCTCTTTGCACATTCAAATAGTGTTTGGAGGCAGTCCCTCTTAAAGTCCCACTGTCATCATCACTCACTGGTGAAATGACATGTCAACATTTGGACCATCTCCGTGGAGGGGCATTGAGCTGCAGCAGTGGCTGTGCTCACTATTTAGTGGTTTAACCCCCCCAATCCAATCCTTTAATGCTGAGTGTCAAGCGGGGAGAAATTGGGTCCCATTTTTAAAATCTTTGGTATGACCCGACTGTGGATTTAAACCCACAATCTCCCAGACTCGAAGCGGATTTAATACCAGAACATTACTGGTGAATAATAATTCAGAAGACGGCGGGAATAAGGAGTAAAATAGTTAAAATACTCCAACCCACAAGAGATTTGACAGGTGTGATCCTGATCCAGTGGATGAACTGTCAGTGAATGTTTTCACATCACTACATTGCCTCTCCTCGTTTCCGACTCCACTGAGTGTGACTTCTAGTCTTCTGCGCATGCGGGTCGCTTTGGGGCCGTAGAGCGTTTACAATAGAGTTTGATGTAGCATGTCAGTCATAGTGTGAACAGCCACACAAAAAAATTGGATTTACTCAAAAAAAAATTGGAATTGAGCATCAAGGCCTGCAATGTGAATGTAGCCTCAGAGAATAGGGCATTCTTGTCCTATATTATCTGGACGACTGAGTCTTAATTGCCATCTACAGAAAACACGAAACAGAGCAGCTGCAACAAGTGCTGTCACACATCAAGAATCTGGGCTTTTTGTTACACTTACAGAACAGCTCTCCAAGTAAGTGGTTCTCTTTTCTGAGCCTGGAAACCTGTTCTCTGTTCATTCAAACATGTCTTTCAAAGCAGCGAACAGTGATGTTTCGCCAGTGTTTGACTGAGTTTAAGTTGGGGTACAGACTGCATTTCCAATACAACTGTTAGGCTTGATGGCCTCATTGATCTTGGTTGTGCCACTTGGCCTGCTCAAGATGCGTCTGCTTCAGCTTTGGACCCACACTCACTGGCTGTGCATGTCATGTAGCCTGCACACGAATCTGACAATAACTTTGGCCCACGGAGGGAGCCCTGTCTCCTGTACTGAGGCTGCCAATCAGTAGTGTCCTTGTGAAAGGTGGTGTCCACAGACGCCTTCCTGATGTGGTGAGGAGCCAAATGCAATGGTGGAGTTGAGTGGGGTCTAGACATGAACCCAGCCCCATATCAACAGTCTTGCTAGCTTTAAAACACTTTCAGAAGATTCTGACCAATTTATGTGCTCTAATAAAACAGACAATGCATCATTACTGCCATTCATAAACAGAGGTCCACTTGCTTTGCGCCCCCTGCTGAAACGGTCTCTCGAAATCATCCATAGGTGGAGCATTCGCCTTCTGTCCACTAGAGCAACCAATGAGCCAGGGACCGTAAATATGTGAGCAAATATGAGCCAGCAATATCGGCGGCTCAAATTTAGCAACAGTTCAGACTATGCACATCTTTGTGACCACGACTTACACCAACTGCCATTTTTTATAACAAATCAGTGCAATCAAATGGGGGTAGACATGCTCCTTTTCGAGATGAGCCCTCCAGTGCTAGAAATGGCGTATGTGTAGGGCCTGTCCATGATTCTGGTGGCCTCTTGCAGGCCAGCAAAGTCATAGTACTTGGAAATAGTTAGCTTAATGGTGAAGGAGCTCTGAAGGCTGGTAATCTCCTATACTGAGTGGAGGGTGAAATACTTCACCCATGACCGAGGTTGGGGATACTACATGCTTACCTGCTGAGACGTCCGTCTTTTTAGCTTGAGGACTCCCTTTAGCTGTGACTGAGACTATCAGAGCACTAGAGCACCTTCTATTAGAGGCTTATATGCCTACAAATGATGGGCTTTTGAGCAGTGGTTTCCCAATAGGAGTGCTGTTTCCATTCAAGTGCCCCATTCTGGACGTGTTAATGTTTATGCTGGAGCTGCTGGTTGGATGACCATCATTCTCCTCAATCAAGGATTACATAGCCGCTACTTCTGGTTGTCATGTCTGTCTTGATGGAGTGACCCTGCCTCTTTGTTTCTTGAAAGGGGCCCGCAGGCTGAGACCAAGTGCAGGTCCCCTGCATGGGACCTGGCTGTTGTACTGGAGGCTCTTTATAGCACACTATTTGAACCACTTAATATTTTAATATTTGAGCATACTTGCATACACAAGTCATCAAGGACGAACCTCAAAGTGAATTTAGGAATACAAAAATACATCTTACATAATCGGGGATCAACCTTAAACTTTCGTTCAACTTCAAATCACTTTCAACAGTAACATTTATAGTTGTCAAATGGGATGGACTGAAGACTGAATAATGCTTTTGCTTACCTGATCACATCATTGTGTTATCATAATATTTGTCATATACAAAGTGCATCCATGTAGACATGGTTGTAGATTATAGGCATGTTTCCATTTAGACTCAGGTGCATTTCTGGCTGGGGGAAATTGAGCTTGAAATTCCATGGCCTGGTCCTCTCAGCTGTTGTGTCTCCATAGAAATTCAGCCCTTTTGTAACTTTGCACAGACGTCAGCATACTGCGACTGATTCAGCAGCGAGTGATGTCAATGGTCAGCGCCAAAAGCGTCCACAGTAACATTGATACCACTAACAGTTTTATTCTGTCGAATTTCAGCAAAATGTAATCCATTCGGAGGATGAGAGCAGCTGCATGGTCAATGACCAGAAGTTTTTTTTTCCAGTGCTTAGTGAGACAACAAAGCCCTGTGAATTACATTCTTGGGGGAATTTCGTCGTGTTTTTGTAGAGAGTTTAGCAACAACGATTTAAAAGCATCGCAATCGGTACTTATTTTCTTTTGCTTCCATTCTGCTTCACAAACAACTCTTCTAACGCCAGCTCTTTTGGAAGGCGTTTGCTGATGTCATTTCCTACTACAACCAATCAGCGTGAGTTAACCAAAAGTCACTCCACTGGGCCATTTCTAGGGCTTTCACATCAGGTATATTGTGCTCACTTATGGGTAATCTGTGAGTTTTCCATGCTCAGCTGACCCTTATGTTTTTGGACCCGCTCTCCGGCGGTCCGCTTCGTGAAGAGCCGACTCAACACATCAATTACCGACTGATTGGCTGGTTGAAGTTGACAACTACCTATAGAGGGTGCCTCTGGTTGGTGGGTAGAATATGCCTGCAGCTGCTTCCCACATGCACGTTTTGTTACCACTCTGGATGCAGCTACGAACCGCCACTCCAGCCCCAGCAGCGGAAGGACTGCTCTGAGTGCTGTGAGGAGCACACAGCACTCAGTGAGAGAGAGGGCACTGTGCTTCAAACTTCAAAAGCAACACTGCTCATGGCCACCTTTAAAAAAAAAACTAATTTAAGGAAAACACCACAGACTTCTCTGCGTGTCTTTTGCCTCGCCCATGTGCTTGGAGACATCCGCCTTCCTGGAAAAGATATGTGAACAAAACGTGGCCATACGAGAGTGGCCCACGCTACCTAGACCAGATTGGACCAGGCAAGATGTGAAGATGCTAATCAGGTACCTACCACTGACCAGTTCCTCCAAAAGTTCCTGAAAATGGCCCGGTAAGTGGCCTGTTTGGACAGCCCTGTTAAGTGGAGATGAGCATTCTGGGAAGTTCCAGTAAAATTACCCTTTAGGTGCTTTTATAGGACACACCATGCCGGCATATCAGCATAACATTACCGCAATGGTATGTCTAGAAACGCGCCATGCCGGCATGGCGTTGCGCGAATATTGCGGCATTCGTTCCGCCTCGTTTGGTAGTAATATTGCCGCATCCGCCCCTCGCCTCTGACGGCTAAACGCGTGTCAACCCCACTAATCCCTTTGGAGGTCCTCACCAGGGTGCCGCGGCAAATCCCGTTTTGAAAATGCTATGGTCCTATAAAAACAAGTTCAGAGAGTGGAAACGTGCCTAATATGTGTTGTGCCTCATTCATCTACTTCAGGGAACAGTAGTTCTATGCATAACTTACCACATTGCTTTGTTTTACCAAACTGGCGTCATGGTTAACCACAGCTTTGCTTAGTCCCAGTGAATTTCTTCCCCAAAGACTCTGGCTCTAGTATCTAAAAAACTATAGAATCCATCTTTTATCTTCTGTGCCCATCTCTACAGTCCATGCTCACAGAGGACTAAACCAGCAGCCAGTGTCATGTAAATCTGTCCATTACAGCCAATTTAATCTATAATACAGATGCATTTATAATTCTGAGATGTGGTTCCCAATCACCAAATGTATTTCTAAGTCCTGATGCCGATAAAAGTGGAAAATTATCAGCAACACCAAGCTTATCACACACATGGTGATGGAGACTGGAACTTTCCCATGAAAAGGAAACATGAGGTGTTCAAATGGATTTGTCATGAAAATTTAGGTCCAAGTCAAAGCAACACTGATAGACACATCTTGTCTAAACTGGTCTGATAAAAACTGTTTCCATCTGCAGTGAGTTGTTATTTTAGGTCTAAAATGGGATTTTTGTTTGTTTGTTTGTTTATTTGTGGTCAATGCTGCAGAGAAAACGGGCCTAATATTCTATTTGGTGGGTTATTAGTATAATTAGAGCTGAAAATGCCACAGACTGTACCTGTTTGCGTTCCCGCTTGGTGTGAATGTGTTGAGAAGGCTGAGGTGGTGGCTGCTGTTGTTGAGGCGCTGGGTTCATGATGACGGGTGCTGCTTGCACTTGGGGGGTGAACTGAGGCTGTGCGGGGTAGTAGGCCCCAGCTGTGGATAAAACAGACACGTAACGTAAACATACCAACTCAATCCCAGAACTTGGTACAAACATTGATCCACACAGGAAATTGTGTAGGTGTTAGCAAAGATTCTGTTAGCGAGTCAAGCTTTCACAAAGTTTGCTGTTTCAGAGTTTTTAGAACTTTGCATCAGATCTTTTTATTGTTACTGAAGCACAAAACTTTCATAAGTTTCACTCTCACATGCTGTTCTTCGTAAACGTCGCTCATGAGCTACCAGTGGCTCGCGTTTTACTTGGAAGTTGCTCACCTGGAAGCAGCCAGCAAGCGATCAAAAAGTAATTAACGAGAGATGGCTTTGTAATCTGATGGCGATTCGCCCTCGTTTTCCATAATGTCTAATATAAAATTAGCATTTTGTGGAAGTACAATAAAAATCTGATTATTAAAACGTTTCTACTGGAAACACACATTAACTGCTCAGGTTGCAGCATGGATCCTTGTTTTTATCAACTATGATCTCAGCAGCTGTAGCAGGAGACGAGGGTGACGTCAGCACAGACCGGGTTTGGTTTAAGGAGGCTGATGTTGAGCAGAAACGCATCAGTAAGATTTTCTGGGTTACTGTAAAGTCCCAGCTGCTGTAATAGCTTGTTAATGCAAATTAAATGTGTTTGTTTACGAACACATGATGAACACATGATGAACACAGGCTTCCAAACTCCTGACATCTTCAGTGATTAATCCATCCATCCATTGTCTATATCCGCATGTCCACGCAGGGTTGAGGGGGCTGGTGCCCATCTTCAGTAATCTCTAGGCTAACAGGCGGGGTACACCCTGGAGAGGTTGCCAGTCCATCACAGGGCAACACAGAGACACACAGGACAAACAACCTAAGGACAATTTGGATAAACCAATCAACCTGACAGTCATGTTTTTGGACTGTGGGGAGATGGGAGTAGGGGAGAAACCCAGGACCTTCTTGCTGCAAGGCAACAGCGTTAACCACTGCACCACTGGCACTTTGATTTAGTTTCAACAAAATTCTCTCAATTATTTCAGCAGAATTCCCCATTTGGTGACAAAACACAATCAGGAAAGATCTCTCGCTCTGTTTTGTGTTGCGAATAGCCATCAGACATGCGGATCAGCTGATCCAGAGGAAGAGAAAAAGGATCAACTTTCAACCTTTTTTAAATACTGTCAACAAAAAACGTAGCAAAGCTAAATTTTACCTGCAGATATTCACTAGTGAAGCAAAACTTAACATTCATGAGCTAAAAAAAGTATTCAATGACTCAGGAAAGCAGGAGGAAAAGTTATTTCTGTATTTACATTTAGAATGGTGTGTTTTCATCACATTTAGCTTGTATTTTATTCAAACTTCAGCTTTATTCATTTTATAATAAAATTTTTGTGTTGCAATGTTTGGAAAAATAAACAACAATTACTTGAGAAAGGTTTTGTATTAAATGCCATTTAAAGACATTTAAATGCATTGTTTTGTTTAGTTTGACTTTCAAATCAGGAATGTCACCATTTTCCTTTTACAATATTGATGCAACATTGTAACATCCGTCTCTTTTATCGTAGTGTTTAACTGAGATGTGCACAGCCATGTGCGAAAAAAATAAAAAAAATAAATGAAATGCAGTGAAACAATGCATGTTAAAATAGAAAGCACTGCATTTTTAACATAGTAAGCATATTCACACATGGAACGCATCAATGCAAATAGATCGTATGGCAGTAGCTCTTATGTTCTTCCAGTGTGTAAAAGTACGGTCTCCAAAGACCAAGACCCCTGGTCTAGGAGGATGTTTAGGTACCATCATGGCCGTTCTGTGAGTGAGCAGAGTCTATTTATTGAGAATCGCTTTGTTGTTGGATAGAAATGTCTCTGCTGTTAAAATCACTAATATTAAAGAGTTTGAGGTTTCAGGAAAACCTGAATAAAAGAGTCAGACTAGAATTCTTGATCATTTGCAGTAAAATAGCTGCGGTTGGTTTTACACCTCCCTAATGCTGGTGAACATTTAAAAACTCAAGTCTTTTTTATAACCACCATTTGAATTTAAAGCAGGTACCAAATGTCTTCGTGAAGCGCCTCGTGATTTTATCCTGAAAGGCGCTATACAGGTGCTGGCCAGTAAATTAGAATATCATCAAAAGGTTGAAAATATTTCAGTAATTCCATTCAAAACGTGAAACTTGTACATTATATTCATGCAATGCACACAGAACAATGTATTTCCAATGTTCATTACATTTAAATTTGATATTCATAAGTGACAACTAATGAAAACTCCAAATTTGGTATCTCAAAAAATTAGAATATTCTGAAAAGGCTGAATATGTAGAAGACACCTGCTGCCACTCTAATCAGCTGATTTACTCAAAACACCTGCAAAGGCCTTTAAAAGGTCCCTCAGTCTTGTTTTGAAGGCACCACAATCATGGGGAAGACATCGGACTTAACAGCTGTCCAAAAGACAATCATTGACACCTTGCACAAGGAGGGCAAGACACAAAAGGTGATTGCTAAAGAAGCTGGCTGTTCGCAGAGCTCTGTGTCCAAGCACATTAACAGACAGGCGAAGGGACGGAAACAATGTGGTAGAAAAAAGTGTACAAGCTCTAGGGATAACCGCACCCTGCAGAGAATTGTGACGACAAACCCATTCAAAAATGTGGGGGAGATCCACAAAGAGTGGACTGCAGCTGGAGTCAGCGCTTCAAGAACCACCACGAGGAGACTCATGAAAGACATGGGATTCAGGTGTCGCATTCCGTGTGTCAAGCCACTCTTGAACAAGAAACAGCGCAAGAAGCGTCTCGCCTGGGCCAAGGACAAAAAGGACTGGACTGATGCTGAGTGGTCCAAAGTTATGTTTTCTGATGAAAGCAAGTTCTGCATTTCCTTTGGAAATCAAGGACCCAGAGTCTGGAGGAAGAGCGGAGAAGCACAGAATCCACGTTGCATGAGGTCCAGTGTAAAGTTTCCACCGTCAGTGATGGTGTGGGGTGCCATGTCATCTGCCGGTGTTGGCCCACTCTGTTTCCTGAGGTCCAGGGTCAATGCAGCCGTCTACCAGGAAGTTTTAGAGCACTTCATGCTTCCTGCTGCTGACCAACTTTATGGGGATGCAGACTTCACCTTTCAACAGGACTTGGCACCTGCACACAGTGCCAAAACCACCAGCACCTGGTTCAAGGACCATGGTATCCCTGTCCTTGATTGGCCAGCAAACTCGCCTGACCTTAACCCCATAGAAAATCTATGGGGTATTGTGAAGCGGAGGATGCAATACGCTAGACCCAACAATGCAGAGGAGCTGAAGACGACTATCAGAGCAACCTGGGCTCTCATAACACCTGAGCAGTGCCACAGACTGATCGAGTCCATGCCACGCCGCATTACTGCAGTTATTGAGGCAAAAGGAGCCCCGACTAAGTATTGAGTGCTATACATGCACATTCTTTTCATGTTCATTCTTTTCAGTTGGCCAACATTAGAGAAACAAACATTTTTTCATTGGCCTTTAGAATATTCTAA